TTTAATTTGTTGACTCAACTGCGGAGCGCATTGAAAAAGGACCAACCAAGTTTTTTTATATATATATATATATATATTCAAGTACGTTGTGTTCTTCTTCACCATTGACACCTCGATCCGTCCGCCTCTGGAGGCAATGGTCCCTCAGTCGCTTTACAAGTGAGAAGGCTGAGGTCAGCCGCTGGCTGATGCATGTTCATGCATGAGACAAGTTTCTCCCGGAGCTGGCAGTTCGCTGGCAGTGCTGGTCGAGACTGGAGGTCGGCGGGGCCTGAAATCACGACCGAGCTGTCTGGAAAACCGTGCACGCCAGTAAGATCGGGCTCCGAAAAACTGTCTTGAAAGGGGTTTTAAGAAGCGCTGCGGGTAGATCTGGTGTCAGATCGGTCCTGCGGGAGGCTTTGAGGGGCACTCTCTTTTTAAGGCAAGAGCAAAGAGGAAGGGCGGCAAAAGAAGCTGCGACCTGCTGACAGGAGACTGGGGTTCCCTGCATGGAGAGCAACTCTTCAGAAGACGACCATCTCGGAGACTTCCAGGAAAACACTTGGGGCCCCAGATCCAAGAAGGCGCCCAAGGAATCCCAGGCCAGTGACAGCCCTGACAGCCCTTAGGCTCCATGGCCTCATGAGCGACCGAAGGAGTCCAGGCATCCGGAGACGCCACCAATGAGACCAACGGTGCCATATCTCTGCACCATGGTGATCAGTTGGGGTGGTGCCAGAGGGGTCAATGTAGGCATATATGACAGACGTGGAGTGCCTGGATATGTGCTTAAAGACATCCTAAAGACGGTGAAAGCTAAAGAGAGGAGCAAGCCTGAGACGAGCTCCTGAGGCGGGTTTGGGGATCCGACTGTCGCATGGGTTTGGGGCCCACAGAGACCGGGATTTAGAACTTCATGGGCAGAAGTCCATCGAATGTAGCCGCCTTCTGTCTCACAGCAAGGTCACAAAGAATGAGGAGGACATGATGCACTGGTTGGTTCTTGACCGGGGATGAGGAATCCCAATGACTCCAGTTTATCTTAGGTACCGGTGAGTTGAAATCTTGACAGACTTTCTCGGCGTGAGATAGTGGGAAGTGAGTTGAGACATCGTTGAAACCGCTAACCAGTGGTGGACTTAGCGAGTACATCCTGCAAAAAGTCCATGTCAACTTTTGAGCACCACAATTCATCCCAAATCTGCAGTGCTTAGCTAACTATATATAAATACATTGTAGACGGATGGAGCTTTGCACGACAAGACATTGTATAGTGCTAAATCGCCGCCATGGCCGAAGTGTCTACCATGACCCTCCATGCCATCGTCTTCTCTGGAAAGAGCTTTGAAATCAGCACCCGGCTGACTTGCGGCTTGGCCACGTCCTGCCGACGATCATGTAGACGAATCGAACATGGAGCCCCCTTGATTTGTTGGAAAAAACCATTCAGATGAGAAACCGAATTCAGATTTTCGTGGCGAAAATCGAGTGGAGAAATCATCCCGAGGTGTCCCCCCTTTCGAGAGGTTTTGCCCGGTTTTTGGTGGACTGGGAATGTGACACATGCTGTGAAGACCTTCTGAAGACCCTGGGGTGATCGGAGACCGTTTGAGGATGCTTGTGTCACAGCAAGTCTGTGTTGGCCAAGGATGTGTGGTTGTGGACATGTTTAAAGCATTTATGGTTAAGGCGGATGGTGTTGGTAAAGGCCTACAACAACATATTATATTATATATTTTTTCGAGGACCAGGGTGCAGAGCTGTGCGTATTTGCTTCTGCGTTTCAAGCCAAGGACCCTCTCAACTGCCATAGCTGGCCAGGTCTCATGAAGCACATTCCTGGGGTGAAGCGCTTGAAAATGAACAAACTCAGAAAGGCGAGGGGGAACCTGACATGATGCCCCCCAATATGTATATGTAAGGCCCTCTAGTCAAGTCGAAACGCAGCCTCTGGTCCATCGAAACGGATCGGCCCCAGGTCCTCTTTGGCGCTTGCGGCGTCTCATCGAAGAATGCTTGGGCGCACTCGTCGAGTCGCGCGTGGCACGGCGCGGTGCTGACCGCGATGTGGTGCTTCGGCTGGAGGGTCAGCGCACCGTGGCTGATGCAGGACTAGAGGACCGGGCTCAGCATGCGAAGACCGGGGGCAGCAAATGGTGTGTGGCTGAAAAGGATTTGCAGGTGTTGCTTCAGTTGTTATAACCCATTATCAGGGTTTAGTGGATGCTTTTGGGGGGTCAGATCGTCTTCTATTTTGAGCCACTCCCTGGTGTGCCATGTTTGTTTGAGCTCGAAGACGCTGGTTCCCTGACGCGGACATCCAGGGTCTGAACATGTTTGAACTTCAAGTCGGTGGGCGTCTCAGACATAGCACATTCAACACGCAAGATGCATTTAAGAACATTGTCAAGCCAAATTCATCAAATGTGGGGTAACCGTGACTCCTTGAGGATTTCAATGTTCTCTCTACAGTTTGCTATGCCATATTTCAAAATATTTCAACATGGTTTCATGACTGAAAGCATCTTAAACCAAGATGCCTGGCATTCTTTCACCTTTTCACCATCCCATGGTGTCCCCCCGAAGCATCTCACCTGCATCAATCGGGGCACCTTCAAAACTCCCCAAATCCCATGCCTGCCACAGCACCTGCACCGCACCAGGATGGCGACCAGCTGTTGGTGGCGCTCCGCGACGGCGTCGCCTGCGCCTGCGCCACGGGGGGGCGGGCCTTTGCGCTGCGGAGGCAGGACGGCGAAGTCGTCTGCTGGGGCGACGGGGTGTCTGGTGCCTCGGCAGGTGGGGCGTGACAGCGAGAAAGAGACCGTGGGGAGCGAAGACAACTAAGAGGGAGAAGAAGAATTGGTCACTTGAACAGTGCAGTTCGGTTGATGTGCTTACTTTAGTGTTGTATGTAGATGTTGGGGTTGTTTGTTGCAGTTGTTTTACATATCCATGTCGAGCTTCAAAGTGACCATCAACGAGTGTTCTTTCTTGAGAATAGGAGTATCCATCGACAGGGATACCTTTTTTTCCAGTTGGTTTGGCCCAAATCATTCCAGAAGCATTCAATAAGAGTCCAAAACATTCTAAACAAACAATCCAAAGCATATTAAGCATATTGGACAATTCCAAAAAGAAAGCATTAACAAAGAACAATATACTTTGAGCGGCCAGAGAGTATGCCTTAGATGGGTACCCCATGGGCTAGAAGTACAAGTGCGTTGGATACAAGCACAAGCAATCCGCCTGTTCTATCCACTGTGTTTGGTGAATCTCTTCATGTTTGGTGAAAGGGGGGAGGGAAGTGTTCATGGTGTCGTGCACCAAAACAGTGAAATGCATTCAGAATGGGGCACTCGTGTCTACGGGGGGGGCACTCCTGTCGACCGAGACCTCGGGTGGTCAAAACATCAGTTCAGTGTCATGAAGACTATTGAAGACTGCTTCACCTAGCGTCACCTAGTTGGACCAGCCAGCACTACTTATTATACCGGATCATATAGGTCTCCATTGGACACCCATTTAGGAGGGGTAGGGTGTGGATCAACTTGGCTGACTAGCTCCACCAGCTCCGCCCAGCTTACCAGATCCGCCCTCCTCAGCTCAACCCGAGGCGAGAGCCCAGAATACCTGAGGGGCGCAAGGCATATGGTGGCGACCAGCCAGGCACTCCGTGCAGTGCAGCATGGGTGGACCGGGTGGATGAAAGATGTTTGAGGTGTTGGAAGACACCAACTGGATGTTCCCATTCTATGAACTATAAACCAAAGGAACTGCATGCATGCTTGAACGATATATATGACCTATTTTTGAATATGTTCGATGTTATTTCACTATCTTCTGATTTTACGAACTAATTTATATATTCATGAACTACTGGTGCCTGTGAAATGAACTTGCAATACACTCATCGAGATCTCGCAGAAGTCTGCACCCTTTGGCGACGGAGGATGCAGTTCCCTGCGATGCTTACGTTCCCTGCGGTTTGGCTTCGTCTTATGAGTTGCAATTCCTCAAGTGGTGGGTGAACCAGGACGGTTTAAACCTCACCTCACCTCAGATGCTCGATGCTTTTTGTTCACCCTTCCGACTCTTTCCCGCTTGAAGGCAGGTCGAGTCAACTCTCAAAAAAAGCTTTCTTGACACTTACACCAGACAAGGTCTCCCCAAAAGCTCTCCTAAACCCTGAAGGTTTTAACATCTTTTACTTTGACATGTCAGTTTCCATTTCCTGCCACTCCCAACTCCCAGGCCTTCGCCTTTGTCCTACCGGACGGCACGGTGCGTCACTGGCCCTCCCACACCCCCTGCGCCTCCCGCTCGTCGACCGCGCCCAAGCGCGTGGGCCACGCGGCGTTTCGGCGCGGTGATGACGTGGTGAAGCTCTGTGCGACGAGCAGCGCGGTGGCCGCGCTGCTGGCCGATGGTTCAGTGGTAACCTGGGGTGAAGGATTCTTTGGTGGCGATAGCAGCGCCTAGGCTGCCAAGGCTGCATTGGGATGATGGCAAGGCGCTTTCACCCCCTTAAAGTGGTTTGGAGTGGGTCTCAAGCTGCTTTCGTTGGGTTCCTGAATCCAGTGCACGCCTTGGAGCAGAGGTTTGGCTTCAGAAGGTGCAGGTCTCCTCTATAGGCAAACACTTACATCCCTAGTTACATCCCTCACAAACAGATGCACTACATTGCACTATGGACCACGGAATCCTGGATCTGAAGAGAAACACATACAGTATATTTTATCAACGCATGATTCCCTCTCTCTCTCTCTCTCCAGTTTCTCAAGACGATGACATTCTTCAAAGGAGGAGGATGTTCAATCGCTCGCTGAAATCCTCAGAACTGTGCCTCGGAACTGCGTCAAATCGGCCAGTCTTGACACTGGTTCGTTTCAACCTTCGCTCGGTTCATCTTTGACCCCCCAAACCCACATTATGTCTTCGTCCATTTGTCCATCTTTGAGCCTGGGATGAAGCCTGGAGCAAACACTAACAAGATGCCACGGTGTTCAAAAGGAATGAACAAGAACCCTATCTCCCCCAAAACAAAAAGAAACGTCACATCTCAACACCCACATGTCCAGGACCTGGAAATCAAGTCTAAACATCGTCTGACTGGAGCCACCACAGAAAACAGGTGCAAACCAAAAAGAAAAAACCAACCAACCAAACAAACAAACAACAACACGGAATTTTGTTGTCGCCCCTTCCCGTCCGCCACCCGGGGTGGACCTCTGCAGGTGCCGTCCAAGCGCAGCTCGACGGCGTCGTGGACCTTTGCAGTTCCACCGGTGCCTTCGCCGCGCGGCGCAGCGACGGCCGCGTGGTCGCCTGGGGAAGCGAGGCCCGCGCGGACGCGTTTGGAATCGGAGCACACATGGACGACTGGGGCGGGTGGTTTTGGCACATGGTCACAACATGTCACAACCACATGCTATCTAGTGTTTACAAACTTTACACTTTGTTTTAGTGGTCCAATGTGTGTGTTTTTTGGGTGGCAAGGAGGGTAGTCCTTTTGCTCTTTGATGAGTCAAGTTGACTTCAATGTAGGTGACTGGTCGACCGATCATTCCTCACTCGCTGTCACTTGCTTCCAAGAGAAAAGTAACACATTCGCCCTCTTCCAAGTCCAATGATTGGAGTATATCGATAGTGCGTGTCTTATATCGGAAGCGCCCGTGATTTTTTTCTTTGTTTCCACACAGGGTGGTCAAGACCTCGCCATGACGAAAAAGGGGATCAAGTTGTCAAGCAATTACTGTGGAGCAGAAACTCCAAGTGCCCATACTTTTTACCAGTCCCTAGGGCTCCAACCATATCCTCAGAAGGTGGTTAGACCCCCCAAACCCACCCCAACCATCTTCTCAGGAGGTGGTTGGAGCCCTAGGGAGTATATATACATGTCCTGAGAAACCTCTCAGTTGTGCGGGGCCAATCCCGCCAATCCAGGAGTTTGGTGGAGACTGCAGCTGCTTGGAAGAACATTGCAGAAGCAGTGGCAGGTTTGACAGAGAGAATGCTGATGATGATACTGAGTGTGTGCTTTCCAACTGACAGTGACAGCAGCCTTTTTTGTCCACACAAACAGCCCCCACTTCCTCCCCCAAGCAATCACACAATACAACAAATCCATCTCGACCACAGATTCTTGGGCTTCCACAGGTACTTGGACTTCAACCAATATAAACTAAGCAAGCAACCAGAGCACACCACACTACACTACACAAACCACTCAACCAGGTCATGTCCAAGACCAGCTGATTGATATCATCGACCTTTGTGCCTCTTTGTCAGCCTTTGCAGCCCTGACTCTCGCCTTTCAACCCTTTGTGGAAGGGGTTGAGGATCCAGACATTCTGAGCACAAAGATACTATAGACTACAAGATACATACTCTATATATATATATATGGTTGACCTACAGAGTCATCCGGACATGACCAAGAGATGTATGACCTGGACCATAATTGTAAACGGTGCGTTGGAGATGAATAGATCGGGAGAATATCCTCGAAACCGCCCGAACTCTACATGTTCAGTCCACTCGTGTACTGACGATGCCTCCGCCCGAACCGAGGCATCGCTGCTTTTGATTTTCCCGGTTTTTTCCAGATGTTGGAATACCCTCCCTCAGACAATTCTGCTAATATAAGCCCCTGCTATCCCCTGCATTATATATTTTCCTCTACAAGGGTTCTCCTCAGGTTCATAGTTTCAGGGAGAAAACTGTCGATTTAGCAGGCGGTAGCACTAACCCAACCCTTCCCCAGCAAATTCAAACCGCGCCTGCTCAGAACTTCTTCGGGCACCGTGGTCCTGTGGGGCGACGAAGAGTATGGCGCCCAAATGGACGAGGTGCGTGCCTTGCGGAAGGTCTGGCGGTTGAAGGCCTCGGTAGGGGCCTTTGCAGCGGTGAAGGAGGCGCGGAAGATCGATCAGTTGTTCCACTGTTGGATGATGGTTGATGGGTTGGGGATTGGAGGGAATACATGGCAGAACACATGTCAGATCACATATCAGACTCAGAATAGATGTTACACCATATGAGACAACACATGTCAGACTTGATGCATATCAGAGGCACATTCTGGGTGGCATGTTTGAATGCAGGAAAAAAGGATATATATCATAACGCGTGTCAGGCAGTGTTGGTCTGTCAATGCATGTGCTCCGCCTTCTTCCAAATGGCCTCTTAGGGTTGGGATTGGATCACTCGAAGTTAAGTAAGTTGTTGAATTTCTCAAAAGAAGTCAGAAGTCTCATTTAGTCATCGCAAGCATGAAACCATATTAAAGCTCCAACAAAAAGTGTTTTGTTTTGCCATGGAACTCCTGCTGTGTGTGTGTGTGACACCCCTCCCCTTTTCGAATCATCTCACGAATTCTTCATCCAGCTAAGTGATGTGCCACGTGTTGCAAACGGACTTGCCACGTGTAAAAACGTATCATTTCCATGGCCATGCCGCAAGGACGGCTCCGTGGTGACGTGGGGAGACCACTACTATGGAGCCTTCAGTGGCTTCGTACAAGATCAACTTCGAGATGTGGAGGAGGTTGAAACTTGGATGGCAAGGGACCCGCTACAGCATGCATAGTCGTATGCACCGAAACGATCATAGCAAGGACTCGGCGCCGGCGGGACTTCGGGTGTTCCGGTGATGGGAGGGACCGGTGCAGGAGAACCGGGCGGGCCGTCCTAGGGCGATTCGGAAGAGATTCGAAGCAACACATACGCCAATCACTCAGAAAATATTTGGAGGTGGGAGTCAATGAGTCCCAGAGTTTTTTATAACACCATCCGCCAACCCACGTCGCAGGAAGATTGAGGGTCCCCATCTAGATGGGTGCTGCACTTGGACGACGTCATGGAACACCAATTCTTTCCAGACGTGTCAGACTGGCAAACGGAACATGACAAGGTGGAAAGGCTTCTTGGATCCACCAAAGCTCACCGGATGTTCAGATCCCAGACAATCCATGTTATTGACTCGATTTACCTCTGCAGTTGACTCTTAAAAGATGTTAAACCACCACTGCTTACTCCTTGTTTGGGGATGTTTTTCAATGTGTTTCACCATCCTCACCCTGTGTGGGGCTTGGTTTCCCCACCGAGCTGAGCGGTACCGCCACCGCAGCTCAGGAAGCCACCTCCTCGGCCTTTGCGGCTCGCACGCGTGGGGGCCGTGTGATCACCTGGGGAGATGCGGAAGCCGGTGGAGACAGCAGTGCCTCGACGAGACAGAGCGGCTGCGCCATGGAATGCGCGCGTGGAGCAGCGCGCGAATTATACAGCGGCTGTGTGTCATGCAATCTCAGAGAAGTGTTCACTACCTCTATTCCACCCCAATTCCACCATCAATTCCACCATCAATTGCACTCGATCTCCCATGCTTCCGGTGCCAACCCAGGTACCCTCCAGATCTTTTGGACTCCAAATACCGTTTGGGCGCCGGTCATCGTGTCAGGTGCCGTGCAGCAGCAGCTGCAGCAGGTCATCCGGCTGTGCGCCTCCGTGAGCGCCTTCGCTGCGCTGCGAGCGGATGGGACGGTGCCCCGGTGACGAGGGTGATGTGGATGGGATAGGGATGGGTGAGGCGGTCGATGGGGATGTGTATTTAAACTAGGGCCTACCGAACCCCAGGGCGTTCCGGTGTTGTGGAAGGTTCCGAAAACAACTCAGTCTGCCAGGGGGGTTGCCTGGTAAAATACACACCCATATGGCCCATATGAGTATATCAATAATATATCAATAAAACTCAACCAGTCATGGATGGTAAAACCTTCATATATATGGAGGGTTGATAGATTAAGTATATGATCTGATTAAGTGATGAAGGTTCACGATGGTCTTCCAACATCCCACCCATATCATGACAACCATGTGCTTTCATGTCAAGCTTAGTCTCAGCATCACCCAGAAAAGGTTTGCTGTTCATTCGTGCAGTTCAAAAATGACTTTGTTCCTACCACTCCCATCCAAGGGCACCAATCCTTAAACTCCTGAAGCCATTCAATGCCGTTCATCCAAGCCTGTCGGTGATGTTGACACCCACACCCACATCGCCCTGCCAGGTCATCACCTGGGGTCACCCCGACTACGGCGGCACCGGCCCGGCCGCATCCGGCCTCCCCAGCGTGTCACCGGTGCGGCGGCTGTGGGCCACGAGCGCGGCCTTCGCCGCTCTGCGCGACGATGGGCGGGTCATCACCTGGGGCTCAGCAGCGGCCGGTGGAGACAGCAGAGGAGTGGAAGAGCCGCTTGGAGATGGGAGGAGGTTGGGAGAATTTGGGGAAGACGGGCAGGGAGTCGCTTTCTGTTTGTTTGGATTATATTATATCTTAATTATATATAAATTAATGGTCGTTTATATGGACGTTTCATCCAAGGCTGTGTACTTTTGAGATACTTGTCAGTTTTTCCTTGGAAAACGATGCGTGATGGCCCTAAATTTATATATATTATATATATATATATGTATATTATATGAACGTGAAATATAGACACCAGCTCAGATTGTTTTTTGCAGGAATGTCGTGGAGGTTGCAGAGGAATGCTGTGTGACCTGACAGTGGCTTCGATGAGGTGACTCGAGGTGACCGGACCCAGGATAGGCAGAATGGCTCTATAGGCAGAATAACATCACCATTGGACTGGAGTGTATGTTTGGAGGTCGTTGCAGGTCTATGAAAAGGTAGGTTTGGGGTAGCTTGGGACCCTGTAGGTGAAGATGGAATATTCTTATGCTTGGTGTTTCGTACGAAGGGTGGTTTGGAGCCTTGACTCCTAGATGGTTCTTTCTTTGGACAGGTCCTCAAACACTTCTTCAACTTCACTGATCGACTGCACAACGTTCGATTCAGCATCCTTCGCTACAAAACGCGGGTTCCCGCCGCGGGTCTTCGCCTGGGGCTTGAGCCACCGAGGCAACTTCGAAATGTCTACGAGACCAAATCGAATCCGGGCAGTTGATCTCCATCGCCGCCGAGACAACTTCCGCACGTCCAGCGCCGAATGAAAAGCACCGCTTAAGTGGGTGCACCTTCAGCAGCTACCCGAAGGCTGGACGGACGGATTCGGAATCAGCTGCTTCAGAGGATCGCAAAACATGCCAGTGGTCCTGGAGGTGTGAGGTCTGAAGCACTGGCAGTGAAGCTTATTAGACAGGAGGTGGCCGTATTGTGTGAAAAACGACGAGATGACGAGATTGCGGCAAGCGATGCCTTGTGAAGCAATCAGTTCAAACATGTTCGAACTTCCTAACAGGAAGTTCTTTGGGCGCATTGATCACAATTTCCTGAGCTAGGAAATTGAGCTGATGACCCGATGGCTGAGTGATGTCATCAATCCCGGACGATTGAAGCTTTGTTTCACTTTGCGGCAAACAGGGCTCTGAAAAAGTTGTGTTCTTGGAGCAAAGTGCAAGTGCCAGCAAATTAAGGCCCATGACTTGCGAATTGAAACTCCCATTGGCCCAGAGAGATTCTTCTACCAGAACCGGGATGCAACTAAGCAACACGCTGCATCGATGCTGCATCCACATTTGCGGCGCGTGCTGTGGGAGGAGACGACTCAAGTGCTGCAGACAGATGTTGGAGACCCGACCCATTCGGAGATTCGAAAAAGGTTATAGTTAGGCAAAGGAACGGAGAAGGAAGATCAGGGGATAGGCTGACGTGAGAAGGGTTGGGAAGATGGCCCAAAGTGGATTTGCTCCCCGTTCGAATCTCTCTACAACTCTCTTTGAAACATAAATAACCAGCTGATTGCTGCCAGCTCTAGACCAAGGAGTAGAGGATGACTCAATGATTGTAGGAGCTGCCCTACCCATACTGGAGAACTTTCATTTAAACCAAAAAACACCTGCTCAAATGCACTAAACACTGACACACTGGATCTCACTGAAACCAGGAACCACTTAACATGTCATGCGTCATCTTGCATTCGTCCCGCCGGTTCCTTTGTTTAAAACCACCATCGGAAGCCAAGGCCATCCGTCCCGTGCCGTTCCAATCCGTTGTGTTCTCGCTCAAGAGGATCCACGCGCACGGCGTTGTGCGTGAAACCCGGTGCGGGGGGGTCGTTCGGGCCGAATGGCGCTGCTGAAGGCGTGTCTTTTTTCTCGACGAGCAGTGATGGGCGCCTGTTTGAATGTTTGAAAGATTTTGAAAGAGTTGTTCTTGAACCTGTTTGAGTTGTTGGGAGGCAAACCCAGCAGAATACTTCTAAGCATTTTGTAAGCTGTAATGTGTTGGGGGAGGAGTTAATGTCCTCAATGAATAGACTATGAGAAGGAGTGGCTTTAAGTAGAATTCTTGGGGTTGAGGCGACCTTCAAGCAGCTTTGTCATGCTTTGTCACTATTGAGGGGAAATCAACCAACTTCTTGTTCAGCTATGCACCTCACCCAACTGCAGGGTTCTGATCAGGGCGAGCGATTTGATCGATCCCAGAGGAATCGGTTGTAGCTTGTTTGATGCATAGTTCATGGATGTTCATGGTGTACTCGACTGTGCGACTTTACTGACTGCCCGGTGTTGTCCATCTAGAATGGAGAGTATATCTACTCGGACCTTCAACGGTGCCACATCACTAAGAAGTTACAAAAGGTGATTCGGGTTCTTGTTTGAGGGACATGCATGTGTGTGGGTGTGTGAGTGTGTGTGGGTGTGTGCACCCTCATGTTCTTGAATGCAAGCTGCAGGTTTGAGAAAGATTTATTTTGTTGTTTGGAAGGTTTGACGAAGATGAACATAGAGAACCTCGGAGAACACCCCAGTGTTGGTTTCTGGAACCACTTGATATAGAGCCCGTTGCACATGTGACATGCATGACATCCCCCCAAACACATTCGTACCCATGTTCAGTACTTCAGTACCAGAAGCGTTGCCATGCCATCACTCTGGATATCTCTGGGTTTCAAGATATTTCTGCACACACTAAAGTGCTACAGTGCGCCCAGTTGCACCAAAAAGGGCTCTTCATGGGGACGCCTGTTTTGGGAAGGTCCAGGTAGAGACACTGGTGGGGAACCCTCCTGGTCGTATGCAGAAGCTCTCCGTCCTTTTATATTTTCGCAGCCCCCACCTTTGGATCCATGGTCTTAGACCGTCAGGTAGCGGTTACTCGGGTCATGTGTATGTTTGACGAACTCAGTGAATCTCCACGGTTCGGTTCGCCCGGTTCCACTGCATTGGGGGGGAGAATTGGTTTTCGCTCCGGGAATCGGTTGCGACGTTGGCCAATCCAAGACCCTACAGACCAGGGGAGGGGTCAGTAGGGAGTCCCCTAAAAAGGCACATCAAGTAGGGTTAGGATGGGTTTAGGGGAATCTCCAACCAAAGCCACGACCCAATGGGTCATCCGGTCATCAACCGTCCATACGGATCCGTCAGACGGCGTCACTCTCGCCTCGCCTAAAAGCCACAGGATGATCCCCGCACTGAGCAGGTCCGGCATGATGGGGCTTGAACAGGGTGTTGGGAGTGATTTGGTGGGTCAAAAATGGTCAAAACGAAAGCTTCCCAAGGGTCCACCAGTCGATTCATGTCCATTCTGTTGTTTTTGTTTTTGATGTGTGTGTGTTGTTTTGGAAGAACAACGTAACATGGAGAAACACTTCATCCATTCAATTTGATTCCGTTGTTTTGTTGATGGGTACCACAGTCGATTCGAACTTGGTGTTTCGGTCGCGGAGTGTTGGCGCGATCGACCGCGACCGAATCGTGGAGATGATGGGAGATGTTCTCAATGAAGCAATGTGACGTCTCAATGAACCAAGAGAATCAAGGGGCCTTTGAGCGCGTCTGGGGGGGATTCACCACCTAAGTCGCTCCGTTCACAGCCCTTAGACTTCCCTCAAAACTGATAGGGATTAGTTCGACCCCTCCGACCCCTCCAAAGGCTTCGGGGCCGAACGGGCGGTCGGAGAACTCCTGGGCACTGAACTGGGAGCTTCCCTCATGTCTCAGAGATGGCGTTCCATTCCCTCATGTCCAAACCCGCAATGGCCTACCATGTGTTTGGTGCCAATTCCCTCATGTCTCATGCGTTTCCCCCGTCTCTTGGAGACTTCCAACGCCGTTGATTTGATCGATGGCGGCCATCCTTCGAGGAAGGGGGTCTCGCCGAGTCGGCCGTGCATTGCCCATGAGGTCCAGGAGCACTTCACGCTCCGGAAGCTGCAAGAAAGGGCCCGGGCGGCCAGGGGTGGGGTGCAATGGTTCCGGGAGGCTCCCGTCTTGGAAGGGGGGCACGGCACAATGTTGGAGACATGTGCATTGCTGCATGTATGGTCCAAAAATTATATTATCCAAATTAAATACATGCATAGTTTATATATACTGTAGCTGATTTGATTTGTAGCAAGCATGCGCCTGAAGTTTGGTCACATGGTCGATGAACCAACAGACGGAGCGAGGATGTACTGTAGCTATATAGTGAGATTTGGCACTTTGTTTTTGTGAAATCAGTGGAGATGAATGGCAGCTGCTGTTCTTTTTGTTGGAAGGAGGATGCATGCACCACTTCAATTCGATGTATTTGGGGGATGATTGTGGTTTGAGAAGAGCTTTGGGCATGGCTGATTTTTCATGCTGCTTTGCACTTGGAAGCACATACCATGGGAAGTGGCTATACGAGTGGGTGAACCGTGCCGATTTTTCCATGCAAGATGCAAGATTTACCTATCCCACTACATGACCCAACCAAACCGCGACACGGTCCATTGGTCCACGAACAGAGGGCGCTGGTCGCTGTGTCCACCCGAGGTATGGCGCTTGGAAGCCGAGAACAAGGAGTTGAAGGCCGCATGCCTCGCACCGCGGGGTCATGGCGGAGCCATAGGACATCCAGACAGATATGTGACATGTGATCCAATGATGGCAAAGAAGAGCTGTGCTTTGCTGCGCTACAGCAAGTCAAGAAAATTAGCAGGCAGAAACTCCCAGCCACTCCCAGCAACTCTAACAGCCAATAAACCTCTACAGCTTGTACCTCTAAAACCAGAAGAAAATTCCCAGCTAGCTCCCCAGGTAGCTCGCTTCGTGGCCAGGTTCAAAACTCCATCCTGAACACTCAGTACACCTCGCAGACCGAGACGCAAGCAGATATTCTCAGGAGCGATGCGACCTCGATGCTCGCTCAACGGGCCGCGGCCGTCTCGCTCGGCCACACAGTGTGGCAACGAACTGTGGCATGCGGCAGAACTGGTGGCTAAAGCGGGTAAAGATGGCCATGGGTTGGTTTGCTTGAACTGACGAACCGAGGGTTAGGGTTTGCAGGTGTTTTTGTTGCTGTGCTCATTACAAGTCACACCTGAAACCGCCTGATGGACGTACTTACTGTAGAATACCAACATGGAAAATGGAAGATCGCCCCTTGAAAGATGTCCTCGTCACAAGCATGGGCGTGCTATCCACCCACCTTCGGAGAGAGGATGCACGGTGAAAAAGGAACCTCCAAACAACTTATTGCCTTGTCAAATGGGATTTCCATGTAGATTGCCTCTACACAGCTGCAGCTGGCAGTCTATCCCGCACTGAAGCGGGCCACACAGAAGGTGTCCTGGAAAACGACTCGCACTCTCCGGAACTGGTTTACTCAGGTTGTCCAGGATCAGGCTTTTGATGTCGTGTTGCGCCTTGCGTTTGATCATTGGCTTTGGACCCTTTCAAGCACAACGGCCGACCTTCCGTCATGTCTCCGTCTAGCCAGTGCTAGGCTAACATGGCATGCTACAGTGTCCCCCTTCGGAACGGGCGCGCCGTGGAGGTCGTGACGGTTCGGGTCCCACGCCCGGATGCGCCGTCGGCAGGACGCTGCACGCGAACTTGGAGGAGAACTACGCAACCATCGACGAGCAGAAGCGGAGGATTGAAGAGCTGCTTGAAGCAAAGCCAGGGTGGATCGGTTTTTTTCAAGTGCCCAATGCATCCCAAGAAACTACAAAAAAAAACACAAAATGGGAGTCTAGGGTGCACCTCCAAGTCTTCTGGATCAAAAGGTCGCCCCGCAGACATTTCATGGAAAGGGCCTTGTCTCCCCTTTCCATGAGACTCTTGGAGACGACTCTCTGGGCTCTATCTAGTTCTTTTTCCAGGCAAAGCACCATCCTGGGCTCCAAAGCTCAAATGTTGTCGACAAAAGATTTGGATCCTGGCTTTTCGTGCGAACTTTTTGGATCACTGCCAAAGAGGCAAGATGTAAAATCATGTTCCGCAAATGGGATCTTAAATTCATATATTTCACACATATTTCACCCGTTTTGTCCAATATGGCCTTCCATTGCAGCCTAAGGTTTGTTTTGGATGAGCAAAACCACATGAAGGTTTGTTTTGTGATGATCCAATCAAATGACCACTGCCCGAGGGTCTGAAGGCGACTGTCCGAGGGTCTGAATGATCACAATCTGCGCGACGCCGGGTCCAATCTGGGAGAAACCATGTGTTCATGGACCTTGAGAAGCTCACAGAACCACCGTTTTTGTCAGCCTGACAGAGTTCAGACATGTATCTTGGACTCAGAGTCTAGCCAACTCACCCCCAAGAGATAGACTCCTCACATGAACAGAACATGTAGATCAACGTCCCGAATTGATGGTAGGATGCAAGGCAGTACATACACTTTGTATAGCATGAACTTGTACTCGTACGTGAGCCCCTTTCTGGCTGAAAATAGCGCGCTACCCGCTTGCATGGTAGCGGAGCAGGGTGAGCTCCTGCTCCGGGTCCCCTGTTAGACAGGGTAAGACCCGCGCTCGGGCGCCTGCGTGGCGGACACCCTGTAAATCCACGTTGTGGTGTGGGCACGGTGTAATTCCTCCCCGAGTGGAGGTGTCAAGCAGCGCCCATGGCTTCGAATGCTGCGCCGCTTACTCCGCCAGGTGCATTCTCGCTCGGAGATTCCCTGGCTGCGGCAGCTGAAGCAGGTCTTCTACCTCAACAACAAGCTCAGCAGCAGCAAGCTCAGCCAGCCCTTCCAGCTCAGCAGGTCGGCGCCAGTGGTCTCATCGACACCAGAGCCATTGGCAAGTTGAAAAGCTTTTCAGGCAAAGAAGAGGAATGGGCAGCCTGGGTCTTCGTGGCAAGAGGGTACCTCAACTTGCTGGATACAAGCTACCAGGCCCTCATCCAGGCTGCAGAGAATGCCAACCGGTACAGCGACCTGATCCTGAGCGATATGGGGCAGCACGCCCAGGAGAAAGCCATCATCCTGTTCAACCTCCTCACCCAGAGCGTTGATGGCAGAGCCCTACAGGTGTTGATGAATGTGGAGAATGGAAATGGCTTCCAGGCTTGGAAGGCCCTCTGCGAGGCCTATGAGCCTGATGTTGGAGGAAGGCATACAGCCATGCTGATGAGCATCATCGCCCCGGCTTGGGAGACTGTCAAGGAGAACGATTTCCTGGAATCCCTGGAGAGTTGGGAAGTGCTGACGAGGCGCTATGAGATCCAAGCCAAGGAGCATGTCTCGGACTCCACAAAGATTGCGGTCCTCATGAAGCATGCGCCCATGTCACTGAGGTCAGCCCTGAGGACTGCTGGAGCTCAAGTTGGGACTAACTACGAGCGAGCAAAGAAGTTTGTGCGAGATTTCCTCCAAGCAGGACAATACTACAACGCCAAGGGCCAGTTGGGCAAAGACGATGGTGGAGCAGCACCGATGGATGTTGGTGCAGTGTCCTTTGACAAGGGCAAGAAGGGCGGCAAGTCAAAGAATGACAAAGGAGTCAACAAGGGTGGCAAGTTCGACAAGAAGGGAAAGCCACCTCCTCCAAAGAAGTTCAACGGTGAGTGCTCCTACTGTGGAAAATGGGGGCATAAGAAAGCTGATTGCCGCTTGCTGGCCAAAGACAAGGCCAAGCGTGAGGGAAAAGGAAAAGGTGGCAGCACCAATGCCATCACAGCGGCATCGTCATCGGCAACTGGATCTGCATCCCCTGGTGGTGGACAGAGCACCAATGCAGTGTACTACTGGCTGCCTGGTGATGGAGAGCGTGTGAACTGGGCAGACGCTGAGGACGTCTTTGACATCGAGGATGAGTACTCAGACGAGATGTGGGTGATGATGATTCACCGAAGCAAGCAGCCATCGGACTGGCACTTGCTGGCATCCCAGTCGCCTGACAAGGAGATCAAGTACCTCCTGTGGGATTCAGGCAGTGATGAGCATCTATGTCGGCCTAGCTTTGGCGGCAACCGCCACACTGAGGAGAGTGAGGTGAAGTTGATGGGCATTTCAGGACAGTGCCTTGGACGACTTGGCAAGAAGAAGGTGAACTACAAGATCATTGGCGAGGACAACAAGTTCCTGAACGCGGTCACGGAGTTCAAGGTCAGTGAGCAGGCCAGCAAGGATGTCCTGAGTGCTGGGAAGATGAGCAGGAATGGCTTTGCAGCTGACATGAGGAATCCCATGAAGCCTTTCCTCACACACCCCCAGCTGGACTTCAAGATTCCCCTGTATCTTCACTGCAACTCCTACTATGTCAAGGTGCGGGACGACGAGACGATCCCCATGGACTTCATGGTGAACACTGGTGTGGTGGCACCTGTGGCAGGTCAAGGAGAAGAATATGAGTGGGAGTATGCAGGCATTGAGGATGAGGGAGAGGGGATTGAGATGGTCCCCATCCCACCTGAGTTTGCAGAGGATGAGGCCCATGCTCGAGCTGACCGTCCACGACTACATGGATGGAGCAAGGTGGAGGATATGAGAGCTAGACTACGAGAGCTCAAGGAGCCTATCTATGGTGACAAGCACACCTTGTGGAAGAGGTTGCAGGCTGCAGAAAGAGCTCTGTCGATCAGGAGGGCACGGGCACGAGACTATGTTGAGAGAAACTCTGCCCGACAGCAAGCCTTGCGTGAGGGCAGAGAACCTGATGTCTCCTATGTGCCGGTACCTCAGAAGCCGGACACGGAGGAAGTTGAACGGCACCTGATCACACATCTGCCGCCAGCACCTTGGTGTGAGTTTTGCACCAGAGGCCATGCAATGGATGATCCCCATCGACGCAGGACAATGGAGCAGAAGCTGGCCGAGAACCACTTCGAGCTTGACTACAGCTTTCTCAAGACAGATACATCCATTGCAGAGCGGTTCGAGGAGAGCTCAGACACGATCCTCTCCATCGTGGATAGCGGCACCGGGATGGCCCTGGCAATGTCCATTCCTGGCAAGAATCTGGAGACACCCTACGTGATCAAGACAGTGACATCCTTCATAGCACAGCTGGGCTACATGCAGGTGAAGCTCCGAAGTGACAATGAGCCTGTGATCAAGAAGATCGTTGCCAAGATAGCTGGTGCACTGCGAGAAGGGAAAGCACCAGGAGCTGAAGGACTCAAGATTCAATTTGAAGAAGTGCCAAGGTACTCATCTCAGAGCCTTGGAACAATGGGAGCATTCCAGAAGTTGCTCCGTGGTGATGTCTTGACCCTCAGGTACCAGACAGAGGCTAGCTATGGCATCACGCTCCACACCTCACACAACCTGTGGCCATGGTTGGTGAGGTGGTGTTCATTCGTCAGGAGCAGATTCAGCGTCAAGGGCAACCAAAGGACAGCATATCAAGATGCCTTCGACACGGCATACACCTCGCAGTTGGTGCCCTTTGGTGAGACTGTGCTCTTCAAGATCCCTATGAGTAAGGCCAGAAGATCCCACAACAGGGCAGTGGTGCCCAAAGGGGAGACGGCATGGCGTCAGGGCATCTTCCTTGGGAGAAGTGTGACCAGTAACGAGTATCTGCTGGGAACAGAAGATGGGACAGTGACGGCCAGGAGTGTGCGCAGACTAGCTGACAGCAGCAGGCGCTACAACAGAGAGCTGATGGAGAAGATGATCGGTGTGCCGTGGGACATGGGCACAACCATTGGCAGGCCGAAGAGGAAGGCCGACATCGCCTTGCCTCAGACACCAAACCTGATCCCGACCGAAGAGACGGCCAAGAAGAGCCCCAGGCTGGAGCCGAGTGGGGAGGTCATCCAAGAGGGGGACGAGGGAGACTTTCCTGTACAATCAGGTCCTTCGTCGGCATCGAGACCTACGGCTGATGTGGGCGGTGATGAGGCAGCACCTATGGATTTGGGCATGTCTGCAAGACGGGCATGGGCAGGAGAATCTGGTGAGATGAATTCAGAGGCCAAGAGAGCTCGCGTGGCTGGAATCTTTGTGGGTGCATTGTACTCGCCAACAGAAGACACCATTGTGTGCGAGGATGACGTGGACCAGGCCTATGAGGACTCAGACAATGAGGAGAGCAAGCCTTTGAGCAGGCAAGAAATGGATGAAGGTGATGCAGAGGAATTCCGCAAGATGGACAAGTACCAGACCTATGACCCTGTGGAGCAGAAGGATGGCATGAAGATCCTGGATGCTGTCTGGGTCAGAACCCGGAAGCCAGATGGCTCGGTGAGGTGCAGGTACTGTGTGAGAGAGTTCAAGCGGGGAGACCCGCGCACTGATGTGTTTGCGGTGGCATCCAGTACCTCAACGTCAAGGGTCATTGATATTGTGGGCATCAAGATGGGCTACAGCTTCTTGACAGCTGATGCAGAGAATGCATTCTGGCAGGTGCCAATTGCAGAAGAAGCCTACATGAAGCCTCCCAAGGAGTGGTTGAAGAAGATGGCAGACAGCGGAGTCGATCTACCTGATCGCGTGGTCTGGAAGCTCAACACTGAGTGGTATGGCAGACGCATTGCTGGCCAGGCCTTTGTGGAATGGGCAGCTGGGCATCTCAAGGAGATTGACTTCAAGAGGAACCCAGCAGCGCCATGGATGTTCTACAATCCGGCCAGTGGCGTGTTGATGGAAGTGCACATGGATGACTTCTATGCCACAGGACCAAGAGCAGCTTTGCTGGAGTTGGAGAAGAAGCTCCGTGAGAAGATCAAGATGAAGAGTCAGATCCATGAGAACAGCGTGGGAGAAAAGTGGACGCACCTCAAGAGGACTCGTGAGGTCATGGATGGCGGCATCTTCCTGACACCCCGTGGGAAGTACATCAGCGACTTGTTGAAGATGTTGGGTTTGGAAGAGTGCAATCCGGCTCCAACACCATACCTGTGCTCGGAGGTCAAGGAGGGCAACAAGTTGAGTGGGGAGAGCTTGAGAATCTACAGGGCAGGAGTTGGCATTGCTCTGTACCTCTCCTATGACAGGACGGATGTGCAGTTCGCAGTTCGTGAGCTGACCAAGGACATGAAGGAGCCTACAGATGGAAGCCTACACAAGCTGCATCGTTTGGCACGCTACCTGCAGGGCACAAAGGACTATGGCGTGCGGTTGCCCAAGGAGGGTGAAGTCGAGATTCTGAAGGTGCATTCAGACACTGATTGGGCAAACTGCAAGAAGACCCGGAAGAGCTGTGCCTGTGCAATGTTTGAGGTTGGCGGCTGTTTGCTGTTCAGCTATGCCAGGAGCCTCCAGATGCTTTGCCTGTCGTCTGGCGAAGCTGAGTTCAATGGTGGCGTGGCTGCCTGCAGTGAGGGATTGTTCATGAAGGAAGTGTTTGCCTTCATCGGCTTCCCGCTCCAGATGGAGGTCTACCTTGACAGCAGCGCAGCCCGTGGCGTGTTCCAGCGCCAGGGAGTTGGGAGGATCCGACACCTCGAAGTGAAGTCATTGTGGGTGCAGGACGCTTTGCATCGAAAGCTGTTTAGCTTGCATGCTGTGCCAAGCCAAGACAACACAGCAGACTTCGGCACCAAGGCTTTGGCAGTGAAGAGGTTCAATGTGCTGAGGTTGAAGCTGGGCATCGGGCTGAAGGAGGAGACAGCCTATGAGCAGGAGAGCAAGAAGCATGTTGAGAGCATCAATGCCATTGCCCTCAGCGGGTTCAGCAAGCGGGCCCTTGTCATGGCCATGCTGACTCTCTTGCAGAGCGCTGAGGGAGTGAGGACTGAGGAGCCCAATACAGAAGCATCAAAGTGGGGATTTGATTGGATCTTCACGGACCTTGCAGTGGCCTTTGGCATTTTGCTGGTCATGCAGGGCACGGCTTTGTGGTGGTGCTTCCGCATGGTGGGAAGGCACCTTGCCTTGAGTGGGGGCTTGAGCTTCAAGCCGGCGCGGCCCGAGAGCAAAGATGTGGCCATCCAGTGCGAGAGGAACACTGGACGCTTTTCGGAAGTGTACCTGCTGGAGGGCAGGGATGTTTTCCACACGGACTCGACATGTCCGCGCTTGCATCAGAGGACACGCCCCTATGTACAGCTAAGGAGCTGTAAGTGCTGTCCCGGGATCGGTTTTCCTTCCATCCCGTATGCAAGCGATGCCTTGTAAAAGAAGTTTGAAGATGAACCCCTTTTAAGTGGGGTGCAAGGCAGTACATACACTTTGTATAGCATGAACTTGTACTCGTACGTGAGCCCCTTTCTGGCTGAAAATAGCGCGCTACCCGCTTGCATAGGACCCTGACACATGCCACCCTTTGCCGAGGCTTGAGCAGTTGATGGACGTCTAAGACTCAGGGGGAGAGCGCGAGAGCGCGAGAGGTACCAGTCGCGCGACACATGGCCTGGCTGGAACATATAGGAACCTATTTGGAGGTGCGGTGGTAACGGTCCGGTGGGCTGAAGAAGGGTTGGTGTATGGCTGGAAGGGTTGGTGGAGCTTTCAACTGTAAGACTGGAAGATGAGTAGAGCGTTTACGCTTGCACATGAACCCATTTGTTTTTTTCCCCTAAAATCCCTATATTTATATTTACATATTATGTACCAGGGCCCCCCAAGGGGTGTCTCATCATAGCCCCTTAGAGGTTAAGGAGTGTCTATTCACCACCCCTTCACAGGGCCCTGGTATAATAAAACCATATAAAACCCAACACGGGTTTGCACTGATTTTTTTTGCTACATAACTCCATGTACGTCGTGTATGTGTGTTTTCCGCGTTTGCTTAAACCTGATGGTGTGCTGCACCCCTTTAGGATCAGAAGCAACAAGCCAAAGACGACTTGGACGCTGCGATGGCGCTGTGACTTGACAACATGTGGGTGGGTGCTTTCGATGGGTGTGCACTTTAAGAGGGGGACCCCTGTTCTATTGTGTAGATTGGACAATTTTCCGAAGCAAACCCAGAAGAGAGAATGCCTGGGAGGTCTCCCTGGAGACACTCGTGGCCTGGTCTAAAAGGACTTGTGGCATGGTCTAAATGTCCTGCAGGCTGGCGAATGTACATGCCGCCTGTGCAAGTGTATTGCAAGAAGTGTTCTCTTTCATTTTGGTCATAGTCACGATTTCCCACCCAACAAGAACAACACACTGTTCTTGACTATTCTCGACCTCAAGTTTCTTGACAATTGCTGCTCTGGAACCCTGTCTCCTTCTTTCCTTTGGTCACTAAGTGGCCGAGAAAACCCCCCGAGTTGTGTGACAAAGCGTGGGCTGTACGACCCGCAGCGAGGAAAGACAACGACATCGCCAAGCTGAAAACCCAGAAGGAAGAATTGCAGAACCAACTCGACGAGGCGCGGACCGCTTAGCGCCTCACGGCTCCCGTCGCTGGGGCGGGACCCGAAGTCATGGCAGCACCGGCTGTGCAGGTCGGCACCGGCTCGTGTTCTGGGTCCGAGGTGGCATGATGTGGCATGACTGTCACACTGGGTGACGAAGGATTGTCCGATGCATGGGATAGCTCGGTGTACAGCCTTTGGGGCTGGTTGCTCAACATGCCTTCATGTGGCCAAATGTGCAAGAACAGAGGAAGGGAAGATGGTTTGGGGGTCCCCTCATGCTTGAGGGGTGAGAGGATTTGTTTGACCTGATTTGGAGTCTTGGTTTGAGGAATCACCTTTGACTAGATTTCCCACTGCAACACAGGTGGCAGGTGTCCATGTCCTTCCATTTTCCACCAATGGGCCAGTATGTGATCTACCTCACATGATTCTGGAGTTCAAAACCAAACAGCATCACTAATTGAGTTGGGTCCCTTCAATTCCTTTCACTCTCCACTCTTCCACGTCGGAGTCGCTGGCCCAGCCCGACAGCGTCGGAGGTCCGAGAGTTTCAGCGGAACAAGGAGAACATGGAGCAGGCGACCCGAGAATGACCTTTTCGATCACGGCGGCTTTGGACGGTGGCCACCTTGGGTGGTGTGGTGGTGTGTTTTTGCATGGGAAAGAGCTGAAGAATTGGTGTTGTACTTCTACAGGCACCAGCTGAACCTGTACGACTTGAACTTGCTGGGGTGTATGATTATTGGTGGGTTGATTAAACAAATATCCATGGAGAGCCCAAGAATTCTTAGGGATGTATTATTGAGCCATATCATAATATCATATAATATATTATTGTTATGTTTTTTGAACCTGGTTCTAACTATGTTCATATATTGTCCGTAAAGGAGATTGAACCCGATGCTACTGCGAGCGAAAAAACGTCCTTCTCACGCCTGGTGGATGAATCGACTTGTGCCCAAGATGTCAGGACTGTTCAGGAAAGTTGTTGGAAGTTCCAACTCCGTTGGTCGTAGGAGACAGTAGCTCTGGTGGAGTTACTGTGGAGAAAGTAGCGGTCTCGGATCGCATGCGTGAAACGGGAATTGGACTCACCGAGAAGGGGGCCGTGAAGTCCAATATGCACTTGAATTCAACGGTAAGAATAATAGAGAATGGAGTTATAGTTATAGGATGTTATCGATTCACACCAGGTTGCCTGACAATTGCATGAACTAGACGTCATCTAAATTGAATGCACGAGACGTCATCTTAAACGCGGTTCTGTTTCGCAGTGGTCCGAGGAGTTGGCTGCCTTAAAGCAACAGCTGGCCGACACCAAAGAGGATGCGGCTGTTTGAGCACTTCGTGAGCGCTTCGTCGATGAAGGAAAGATAGACCAGTCTTCCATTGGGTCAGGGGGTCTCCCTAATGAAATAATACACACCCACATCGGGGCAAACCTTGCAGAGTAGAGTTTGTTGGTGATGTCCCAAGATTTGTGCAACGCATTTTTTAACTTATCAGAACTAAATATCAGGCCGCAGGACTTCGAGGTGGGGGGTTCCATGGCACCCTATGGACTTGAGGAGTTTCAGCGGAAGATGAGCGACATGGACCGAAAGAAGGCCATGGACATGCGGACGCTGAGCAAGGACGGAGTGCCTGGACCGAGTGCCAGGGCTTCCCACAGGGCAAGCACTTGGGCCTGGCTTGGTGTGAACGACTGGTGGGTGTTTGTTTAGTTTTATACATTATGCATTGGGTGTGTCCCATTACCTGTAACAGTTGGTAAACAATTAACTATAACTATGTTAGAGAAAGGCCTTCACTAACCAATAATAATAATCCTTTGTTACAAGGAATGGGATATTGATTGCTTTGATGTGATATTTGATGTAGGAGCAGCTAGCACACTGACGTGCAATGCCAAACAAAAGAAATTAGTATATACATAATCATAGTTATGGACATGATATACAGTTGCTACCCTTGGCACAGCAATCAAACAGCAAGCTTTGCATTTGCTGCACCGCAGGACTTTGAGAAGAAGGTAGAGATCGAAGCTGCAAAGCTCCGGGCGAGAACCAAGGCAAGACTCGAATGGATCGGGGATGGGTGCTTGAAAGCAACATGACATGCGGCGGGGGGTTGCCAAACGATTGAGAAGCCAAATATAGCCAAGTATCAAGGATGTGCAATTGGGTCCTTTTTTGCTCTGTGTGATGCAGTTCTGAGAATTATGCCCTGAATGGTCAAGATGGAAAGCGGATTGGAATAGACAGTAACGCCCATGTAGCTGTCCGAATACCACATGTAGCTGACATGCTGCGTTCACCACGTGCTCTGTTGCTTTGTCTGCTCGTGACTCTTGGGACGATCGTGACGACCAACGGGACGGCAAGTGGAGTGGATGCCCGTTGGATCTCGTTGTCAAAAGTATTTGGATCTCGTTGTTTTGAACATGTTTCTTCGACTTAGCACAGATCATACGCATGATTTGTGGGCGTCTCGATGCCTCAGAAAGAAAGAGCAGAACTTCATTCATGTCGGGGCAGGATCAGCTGGATTCCACGACCAAGCGGACCATCATGGAAAATGAGCAGATGGCGGGGGCACTCGGCGGGGTTCTTCGCGGTTCTCTTTCACTGCGGAGTGACATGCGGGGGGCGACATGGGAAACATGCGGGATCTTGGACGGCGAGGTGAGGTCAATCGCAGGAGCCAACGAACCGAAACCCTCGTGAAACGAATCGCATGGTGAGTTGCATAGAGAATCGCATGGTGAATAGCCCATTGGAGCAAAGGCAGGCCTACATGCCGAATCAATCAAGAAAGGTAGGATCAAAGGTGCAGCCAGCTGCGCCGGTTCAATCATTTAACTTGTGTTCCCCATCACCAGAAGCATGTTAACCACCAACTGCAGTTTGTAGGTGGGGGCTGCAATGCCCTTTTAAACATCAAGTGTTTGTAACAGTTTCATGTTTGCAAACGTGAGAAGCACTCTGTCACATGGTTTGGGAGGCAATGTGACATGTGGTCGATAGCCATCTACATACAACCACTTTTGCACCTGACAACCAATTCGATTAGGTGTTTATCATCACTGCTGCGTGCAGTGCATTTTCTTGATAGTTTGTATAATGCGCATGTAATAGTGGGTCAGCAAGGTTACCGCACCAGACTAGAAGCACTAGGCTCCTGGTTTTGCCAAAGCCTCACTCCACTTAGAAAAAGATAACTCAACTCCACTCCGGTCCAAAAGAGATGGCGCGAAACCCCACACCGACTGCGCTGGCGCACGCGGCCAGTTTACCGAGCTTCATTTCCAGAGCAAAGAGACGGAAAAGCTCATGGAGAGGCGGCTTGCCTTGGTGTCACCCACGACCCGTCGAGCCATAGCGTTGTGATGCTGTGCTGATGCTGTGCTTAGCAGGCTCCCTGCAGAGAACTGGAGAATCCATGCACAAGGGGGGATTGGTACATCTCCAATCTCCAGATCAGGTGTTTTGAAGATGGTTGGAACATGTTTGAACCAGTTCTTATATCGGCTGTGACAGTTCGTGTTTACTTGCACTGGTGAATAGCGCTTCTACAAGAGCAGCCATGTTTGATCTTGTTTTGACGTGACAGGAACCAGTCCCTGCTGGAAGAGAACGCGCAGCTGCGGCGGAATCTGGTCATCCACAAGGCCCCTCAGCTTTGCGGCAGTTGTGTTGGTGTTCTGGCCGATCCCGACCCTGACATACCTTGACCACATTGAGTACACGTCCTGTGTTTTCACTGAAATGGCACGACGCAAAGAACTCAGAAACTCCACAACTGGCAGAACTGATGTGAGCGGCTCAATGTTGAGTATCATAACTTGACGAGACCAGCTCGGCAGAAACCTTTAGGGGATGGGAAGCTGACATGGTACACATATTGCAGAGACCACCAAGGTGAAGATCCATTGTATAATGTTGCACATTCTGCAGGAGAGAAAGGAGAGAAAGAGAGAGGGACGACGTATACATAATTACGGTACATTTATACTGACACCATGCCGTTGATCAAATCTTGAAGTACTGTGCAAAGGTTCATTCTGTTGTTCAATTCAGCTGAGAACTCAACGATCATTTTGGAACGGTTTAATGGTTTAATTGTTATTGGTTATGTGCGCATGCATCCGTTTTTGGGAGCACTGAACATGATCAACCTGTCGCCGAGTTCACGGATGCCATGGCCACATTCGGCCCTCTCCTGGTCGGCCTGGCGTCGATCCGTGAGGACTTGGAGAATGAGTTGGCCAGAAGAACTCATCTCTACCAGCGACTGCTGAAGAAGATGGATCAGAAGTGCGCCATGATCGATCGAACCATCGCAGGGAGATTGTTTGGGGACGTGAAGAAACGTGGCATATGATTTGGCACGAGGAGTTTGGAGTGTGAAAAGAGAGGCACGGGAGGTTCGCTTGGATAGGGCCTTCCAACTGATTGGTTCACCATTCATGACATGATATGTTCTGCAGATTCGCATAGATTCGCCATCATTGGTGATGCCCCTCAACATCTCCAAGCACCTCCATGTTGCTCTTGGGGCACATGGCACAACTCACGAAGAGGGACAGGGATGTGGTGTTACTAGTTTGCTCACTCCTCAAGCCCCAAGGCTCCCAAAAACTATTCCCGCAGGTTGAAGTCAGAAGCTTCTCAAAAAGAGCCCGGCCGCCAGTCGGGAGAGGGGCATGTAGCGCCGCAGAGCCCTGCGTGCCAAAAGTGGCATGTGAAGTCTTTGGTGCTTGGGGGGTGGTGACGGTCGTGACGGGTGAAGTCTTTTTCGGTCCAATGATTTCCCTATAGTTCATGGAAGGGGGGCTTGGATGCAAGTCAATAATTATCAGCAGGGTCTTTGTTTTCAGTGACCTTTTCATGAATTGTGTGTTTTCAGGCTTGGCAAACTCATGAGCCCAACAGTCAGGCTAAGTTCCTTCTCTGGGACCTGAGGACCAGCACGCAGGGGAAATCCATGGAATCCGTCATGGAGCAGGAGAATCCGTTGACTGGGCTGCGGGAATGTGAGGGATACAGTAGACGAGCAGAAGCCAAGTCAGTCGGTAAGGTTCAACAGACTATGTTGGTTTGTTTCCATGTGTATATAATGTATAATTATATATATATTAACTATATAACTATATCAACAGGGACGGGAGAGAAACTTCATTGTCCACTGAAAGAGGTTCTGGAATGCTTTCACTCTACTCTCCTCGGTTTGGGAGACAGACGAAGTCTTGTTTCATCACACAAACGTCCCGAAGTTCCTTCGTCGTCCGCATGTGCCGGATGTCCTCCGACTGCGGACGAGGAGAGCTTCTCGATCGGAGGCTCTCAGGAGATGGGGAGTCAGGGCCGCCCAGATGGAGCGAGCTCAAACGGGTTCAACGCGGAAGGACGGGACGTCCGGATGAGATGGACGAGGGATCTTCCTTCCAAAGGGATTGGGGTGAAGGAGCTGGGTGCAGGATCGGCAGTTTCGGATCAGAAGAAGTGAGTTCTGTTTGACCAAGAAAACAAGGCATCTTGGCTACTTGGCTTCCTGTAAGATTTGTTTACAAACATGACGTTGGCTTCAACTGCCGGATCTCTTGAAACCCTATTTGTGCACAGTCCTGAACATCGCGGGTTCCGCTCGCGTTCTTCCTCGGCTATCCAGGCATGAACATCTCCTCCGAAGAGTACAGTCGCGTGCAAAGACAGATGGAGGCCGCCGGGGACGTCACGTCGCTGGCACCGGGCTCCGTGGCACCGCTGCGATTTCGCACGTGGTGTCGGTGTTGGTGTGCGGATTGTAGGACGGCAGCAAAGCGGAAGCACCAAGACGACGGTCGCGGTCTTGGAGCTGTTGAAAAAGACATGAAAAGACGAAGCTGTCAGGATCATCAGAGTACTCTGCAGATGGCTGGTGCCCTAGGGGATCCTACGGGGTTGTGGACATGCAAAGAAGTGTAGGTGGGCTGGGTGAACAAAACAAAGTCCCGCTTTGGATCAAGCATGGTTCACATGGGCAAGAAATGTATGACTAGCTCAGCCCCGTGTTCGTTCAAGCAATTGCAATAACCCCTTCCTGGAAACCAGAAGAATGGTCCGCCATGCTTGGAGATCAATGCCAACACGTATAGACTAAGGTTTCAGGCATGTTAGGATTGTTAGGGTTGGAAATCGTTCCAATCCTCAAACTTGCTTTGGCATCAGAAACCAGGCAAAACGTTTAGTTTAGAAGAGACTCCGCAATGATTCAAATTAACACATTGATGCTCAATCATGTTAAGTTGGTGTTCTATGTTTTGCCTTAAATCCCAAGTTGATGTCGAAAGGATTCACGTTTAACACTTATACACGGTTGTCAAGTGTGTGCTTTTTTCCGAATGGCCACCGGACCTGGAAACTAAAAGAGTCAGAAATGTGTCGAATCGAACCCGTGCCTAAGTCAATATATTATACTTAAGTGAGAAAGTGTATATAGTTTTATGTGTTGTTGTTTCTTTTGTGTGTGTGTGTGTTTTGTTTGTTGTTTGTTTGCTGTTGTTGTGTTCTATGCGTTTTTTTTTGCCTTTTGGTTTAGTCATGTTGGTTTAGTCATGGTTAGTCACAGTCCTTTCTTGTAGTCAAGCCTCTTCTGACAAAAGACATCCGTCCACTTGCCTTAGACGAAAGAATGTCAGAAGCACTTGGATCGTTCAGAAATGAGTAACCTTCTTTCTTGGCACAGCCTTCCCTTTTTGTGTGCTTTGTTTGACAAGGAAGTCTTCGGGAGTTGTTCCAAGCTAGTGGCGCAACGACATGCCATTCATCTAGACTTTGGGTGAAGAACACCGCCACTCACCCTAAGAATCTATACATGAATCATAATTTACCTGTGGAGTTTTTTGCCACATTCCTGCTGGGGATTAAGGCATCCAAACACACTGCAAAAAAAAGAAACGTCAAGTTTCTCCAGTGTTTTCTTCGCTTTCTGCTTGACCCACCTTCAACCTTGGTCCATGGCGAAACCCACACCGTTCCGGTCACCTGACCCCCCGCAGACCCCACGGCCTCCGGTGCCTCCGACCTCACGGCCTCAGTCCCGAGGTGCGGCACGAGTTCGCGCAGTACCGCCGGGACCATGCGACCTTGGCCCAGCTCCAGGCAGCCGACCGAACCCGGACGGACCGGCTTCAGACGCGCAGACTCGGCGGAGAACAAGTGCCGGAGTGGTGGTTTTGGGCATTCCTGGTGTGTTTTGGGTGGAAGGACCAGAGCACACGGCTCATCATCTCCGCCCTTTATGAGCTGAAGCAGCAGAAGGAGCAAGGGGGGAAGGGATGGAACGGGACTGGGCCTGCTGGGACAGATTGATTGATCAACTTGGTTTCACCTTACAGGGCGGTGGGAGGGTTTACTAGTTTGCTTCATGAGGGAAGCCCCCCGCAAATGCTAATTTTACATACTGTTGCATGTTCATGTATATATGTTCGTGTCACGCCCTCATCATGGAAGGCACTCAAGTGATGTCCAACCAACACTTCCTGTAGAGTAGACGGTCCACTATTTTGAGTCAAGAAAGCAGCAAGGTGCCAAACCACCACTAAATCCAGAACATGGCCAGGCAGGTGTTTTGAAATCACTGAAACCCAGAACTCACAGGGTGGACTTGACTCCCCTTCACCTTGCGAAATGTGGACGCTTGCGTTGAAGACGGCCCTTCGACTTGACTCGCTGAACCCTCGCGCGAGTCGCAGGACCAAGCGCCCTTCCCGCCCACGACGCTGGGGATCTCCAGAGAAGTCAATGACAACTGGGGACTGGGGATCTCCTTTCAGAAGTCATTGGAGTCAATCCAACTCCAATCCAATGGAGGGATGGCTGAAGTTGGAGAAATTTCACACCTGCAGTGACCTTTTGCGAGCATTGGCGAGTCAATAGATGTTGATAGTCATTTTCTCCATGACTTAGATGGCCTATGGCCTAGATATGCCTAGCCTAGATACATGCCGCATGCCTATACTAAGACTATATATTGGTTGGTTGAGAAATTGAGGGGATACTCCCAAAAAAGCAATTGCTCATGGCTGTTAGATAGCTCTCTCCAATTTTGTTGGGTTAACCCCATCCACCACTGACCACCAAATGGCACTATGATTGCACCCAGATGTGTTCAGGACTGCCGTTTGCCGCCATGACCCATCTTGGGCCTCTCGAGGTATGACCCAGAGGCGGAGTGGCAGTTCACCAACATGACCCCGAAGCAGAAGGAGTGCCCTCCGCTGCGGGAAGCCAACGAAGGGGGCACAGGTGGTTTGGCGGGCGGAAGGCACAGAACCGGGAGGTGTTTGTGGCAAGAATTCCATCCTCAAATTGTATCAAAACTACGTAACTACCCGGCTCTTGGGGTGTTTGGCTTTCTTTGAAGAAGTCATCAGAAATCATGGACGCAGGTTTCTTCTTTTTTCCGGAGGATATCCTCCGATGATTGTCGTGGGAGCACCCCGAGGAAACTTCAATGTGAAACCTGACGCAGGGGACGCAGGAACCTCCTCAACCAACCAGTCCTTCGAGGTGTTCTGCCAAATCAATCAGTGTCCTTTTTCGCTTCCTTCATCGGTTGAACGTTTTGATTGACACTCAAGTGATGTGAAGGAAGTGATGCTTGACCTGCCAGTTGATGCGGAGCCCCGTATGATCGATATGTGGTCTGACCTTTGAAGGGTGTTCTGGCTCGTTTGGAATCCGACACCCATTGGGCTGCACCCCGCGCTGCACCCCAGCAGCTGCCTAGCAGCTGCCTAGGGCAGCTGCCTACATCCCTTCACCCCGACCTCTTTTGTGGCCTGGATTGGGACCAGGTCGGGCCGAAAAGCGCTGACAGGTACTTCTTTCGAGTTTTGTTGGAGAAGTTGAATAGCAGCATGTGTGCCATGTGCTTCCCCGTGGGCTTGGAGCTCAGGAGTGTTTGCAACGTAAGCATAACGTGCTTTTTGTTGTTTCCTTCACCACTTCATGGTTGTTCTTTTTTCTCATTATCAATCTCCAAAACGCATCGTGAAATGGCCTGTCAGATCTCTGTGATCGGATGGGTGGCAAGAGGTCAACTTTAGCATACGAACATGCTGGACGCATCAGTATGTAAATACTCCAGAACATGGAGACCCACCTTAGGCCGTACACGGGACTCATCTCCGCCATTTACGGCATCCCACCTAATAGATTCATGACGCCAAACAGATGCCAACAGGAGAACATCATCCTTTCCCTTCCTACCTCGTGATACCTTGTTTCTGTAGATATGATATGTGTTTAATATGTGTTTCATGGATATTTCGAACGGAGCGTTTCTGGTCATCATCGAACCCAGCGACTCGGGCCGACTCGGGCCAATTCCGGCCAACGTCGACGTTCGTCCTCCGGGTCTGTTGGGTCCGTCGACGTTCGTGCGCTTCCAAGGTCCAGAGGCCTCGACTGCTAGCTTGCCGCCCATTGGCAAAGAGAAGGAGGCAGGACGGAGAGGAGGAAGGCTGTGGGGACGACGAACTGGACGAAGTTGGGAGCTTTGAGCTCTGGGGTGAGTGGACTTGGAGGTTGGGGGCTGGGGGGTCATGATCTTGTTGAACAGCTTGAGAAGAAGGGCATGCTGTGGGTCTCCATGTGCACAGGCAACGCGCTTCTCTCAGTTCCTTTGGTCAGTTGCAGATAGTGGCTCAGTCCAAGGCGGGGATGGAAGCATGGGGAGACATGGGGGAAGGGTTGCAGAAGCTCGGCCCAGGTGGAAGGTGCTTTGGAGAGGTTTTGGGAGGTGTGCAAGATAAGAAACTTGTTTGGAATCCAATTCTATTGCTTTTGAGTCGTTCACCCTGGAAAACCTTTAGAATGTTCATCCAAATGCTGGTTTTGTTGAGAGCTCCTTTGAATGTAACGGGAAGGAGTTGATGACAAGATGGATCTTGTTGGCGGGCGATTACTTTTGCAGGCCAAAAGGCTGACAAGGTTGTTGTTCATGGGATGTGAACTATGGCAGGACCTTTTCTGATGTGCTTCTTTCACTTAAAATGGCCCTTTCCGAAACTTGAGCGTTTAAATGTGCTGAAACGCGTTGAAACATGTTGAAACCCAACATGAGGATGAGACAAATTCATACAAATTCTATGCTTTCAGTGGAGCCTGGCTCGGTGTATTCGACAGATATGACTCGTTTGGAGCCCAGTGGACCTCCACTCTCCGTCCGGACGCACGCGTCGGTCCTCCAGGACTCGATGTCGGGGTTTCGGACGGTCCGAACGCACATTGCCTTCCAAAGTCTCAAGTCTAATCACTTGGAAGATCACTGAAAGTGAATGAAGATAAAGGAAGATCATTAAATGGAATGGAAGTCCCAATCACTTGGAAGGACTTTACTGGAAGATCATAGGGGTTTTCTGTGAAAATCATTCCTGCAGTGTAAATGTTCCGGATCTTTTTCCAGTGGTTCACTGGAATTATTCGAAGTGGTTCCAGATCTACTTCTCTGAGGTTCCGACTCAAATCCCAAGGGATGGTTTGTACAAGCTCCTAGGGACATTTGAGCAACGAATGCTGCAGGTTAGGACAATTCTATACAATTCTCATATGATTGTACAGCTGACATTTGTTGCAGACGTTGAACGCCAGTTTTGGAGGCCTCACCATGCAACGCCGTTGGTGTGGCGGTTCAGTTTCATCCAATGCTCAGAATGGACTGTTGCTGCGTGAAACAGGTATTACATGATTTGGTATGTGGCCGATGTTCTCCTATAGCCTTTAGGTGTCAGATAGTCAAATGACGTGTCGGCCTGTAAGTCTAGCACTCCATTCCTCACCTCCCTTCATTTCAATATGTTTCAACACTGCTTCTCCGCCCACGCGTCGGCGACCAACCCTCGGGCTCAAACAACATGTTCTCACCATCCTCGCTATGCTCACTCGCTGTACTCACTCACTCGAAGCCTCGCAGGGCGGCAAGAGATGTGCACCAAGGGTTGTCAGACCGAAACCTCGGCCAATGACCCCTGCCTCAAGGTGCCGCTTCGCGGCACGCGCGGATCGAAACCGTTGGGGTCGGGGAAATCACTGCCGGCGGCCGGGAAAAAGGCAACGGAGGGCTTTGAAGGTGTCCAGGAGATTGCTTTGGGAACCGGTTATTTATGTTTAGGGATGTGGTCAACTTTGGTTTCTGCTGGGCTATTTGAAGCCCAAGTGGCACAGTTTGTTGGCAAAGCCAATGTCAGTTGCCAATTCTCACGTTTCGTTTTGGCAGCCCAAACTCCTTGAAGACCAAATCATCCTCAGGCAAGCATGATTCTGCAGTTGAACTGCATGTATCCTACAACTCTTGCATCTCCCGTTTTCCTCACAGGCTGCCTTCGTGTTTACCATCCCTGTGGTCATTTGATGTTGGTTTTCCATCCCAACCTGTTGAGTGCCCCAGCTTCGCTGTGGACATGTAGAGCACACCCAGCTTCCTGGACCTGGATGTTCACTTGATGAATTGATGACCCACCCCTACCAGACGGGTTTTACATCTCCAACTGGGGGTTCCCAAGGGCCGCAGCGGAGGAATCCCGGTCGCGCCAGGAGGGCATTTGGAATCCCAAGGGAAAGACCTCGCACTTGAACTCCGCGGGCATGCTCACTGCGGGCATTGCTGGGGGGACCCGGGCAAAGCGAAGTTCCGACCGGTGGAAAGGCATTGAGAGGTTGTGGTTGCTGTTGTTGTTGTCGTCGCCAAGTCATGCGATGGCTTCGGGTGTTTCTTTGGTGTTTTTTTTATCGTTGTTGTCTTGCTGTTTGTGGCACTGGTATGGCTTTGTAAAATCAAAGTATACTAGTAGGTATAACCACCAGGGTCACAGGGTGGGTATTTCTTTGAATGTTTTGTGATAGACGGTTATAGAATACCATCAGATGCTTGGTCCTTGCAGGGTAGGGACATGTAAGAACGTTAAGCACGCTGGTGATCACCCGCCTGTTGATATATCTGAATATCCTTGCAATCCACGTCCAAAACTTTCAATATACTGGGTTTGATTTCACACCATACTGTTCAGTACTGTTGATAAGTGATGCAGGACAACCAACAATCAATAAACGGTTGCAAAAGCCTCCGAAACTGGAGCTGTTAGACCTGAACCTTTATTCGTGGGCTTCCAAATTAACTAAGTCCGTGGTCATCTAAAGCTTCAGCGATTGAACGCGCACCCCGAGGTGGCGGGCCATGTGCGGAACTGGGGCCCCAAGGCCGTATCTCACCGGCGGAACGGGCTGTGACGAAGGTAGACGTCAACATACTGAATTGGTGTTATTTGGTGTTTGACACAGTTTGGGATTTAGGTATGTAATGTCCAACACACATTTGCATGTGCTTGGTACATTGAATACTAATGTTTGTTTGGTTTCTGGATCCACTTGCTTGAGTTTTTTCAACAACGCACTGCAGTCTCAGACCACTCAGCGCCGGCCGAAAACCCGGGCGAACATCGTTTCACCCAACGCTCCACGGAGCACGGCACATGTGGCGTCGATTTGAGCTCCCTGCGCTCGCCCCCGCCAAACGGTGGGAAGGGAGTGGAGCAGAGTCCGCCATGAGATGGCCGCAGGAGATGAAGGAAGGAGGTGGGTTTCGTACGTATGTTTTTGCCACGGGGACCGTGCAAGGTTTGAATCGCTGGGTTCCCCTTCATGACTTACCAGCATCTATAAGGAATACCAACTCATACACCCTATACCACATGATCATTTTGGATTTTAAATCTAGAGCCTAAATGGGTTCCGGCAGCGTCGAATGCTTCATCATGCAGGGCATTTGGATTTACATGTAGTAACATCATGCAGATGCTTGATGATACATTTAAGCACACAAAGTATATATGTTGTATAGCGATGCTGATACATTGGACTGCGGCTTGTGCTTTCTCTTCGGACCACTGGCCACCGGCTTGTCCAGTCGTGTCCCCCTCGTTGGGTGTCGTGTTTCGACGACGTGCGACCAATCGGGGAAAGGAACCCAGAAAACTGAAGATGATCCCAGTACCAGCCAGGTAAGATGATTGGCATAGAACGAAGGAAGATGTTGGCATGTATTTTCATAGGGAGACCCCCAACCAATGGGTTTTTGATGGTTTTTGGTCTATTGGTCTTTGGCAGGTCTTCGTGAGTGCAGGGAAGCAAAAGGTACTGCTGAACTGATGAAAGCAAGAACACTTAAAACTTAAACCATTGTTTCTGCCTTCACCAGCTCTTTTCTCTTCGGCTCGACAACTCGAAGGGTGCGTCAAGCAAACTTTGCCGGACAGAAATCGCTTGGTCTTTAGTCAAATAAAGACATTACTGTCCAAACATGTCAGGTAAGTGTTCATTCATCTCCAAAGGGGGGGAAACGGGACCAGAAGTCTCCAGCTCTCCATGCGCGACACCCCAAGGCCCGAGGGGCACCACCGGCGGGCCGTGTTGGTCAGCGCACGTCCCATGGGGAAACAGCGCGAAACTTCGGTGCGCAGGTTGTGGCGTGTGCATTGAAGTGGCGTTGTTGGATCGTAGTGCAGAGCTTGCATGGCATCAGCATCAGATCTCGGTTGTGTAGCACTTCAATAGAAGACATGTCTTGAAATTCACCCAGATTCATGCGAATGGGATCCCATCATGAGCTACTATGTAGCTCAAACCAAGAGAGACGTGGCAGCCAGGGCTTTTCCATTCGGATCTCATTTGGACTCTCCACCAGTATATGATTACACAGGTGGACTCCGTGCTCTTCCAGTGTCTTTGTGACCTTGCTTGGATCTAGGTGCTACAGTAAATTAAAGTTGCCAACCACAGAAAGCCAAAGAAAGCTGGAGCAACATGGAGCAACATCTTGCGTTGACAAGGCATTTTGGACATCGAATATGTGCCTGGATTTGTAACACACACAAGGATCAACCCGACGCTACAAAAAGATGGTCACTTGCTCTCACACGAAACTGCAAGGCACTTCATCTATCATCTGTCTCGTTGAAGTGTTTTTCTGATTTCAGTGGCCTTTCAGATTCTGACAAACGGTCCAGTAAACCTGCTACAGGTTGCCTAGAGCAGCCATGGTTTTGATACTGGTACCTGTGTGACAAAACAACAACCACAGCAACTACAAGCAAGTGGACCGAATCTCATCTAGTCCTCCCTAGCTTTGCTTCATCCGAAACGTCCTTCCTTTGCTTCTACGTGCCGACATGGAAGCCTTCGAAGTCGAGACGAAGGCCGCTCCGATGGGCGGAGTCTCGCAAGCGGCCGCTCCATGTCTTCAGTGACCGACCAGAAGGGTGGGCCCCAGTCCTTTCACAATTCTGCCGAAGTGCCCGATAGAACCTTCAAGACAGAACCTCTTACAAAAGGTGAAAAACACAAACTAAAGAGCTCCGAACTTTCTCTTGATTCCACCCGCACAAAAGCTCGCGGAGGTTGAAAGCTCGCGGGAAAGCTCGCAGCCCGAGGACAGGGATTGGTTCGGGACGACAGGGTAGGGAGCCCCCGAACCGGGCTTTGCTTTGGTCTATGTTCTTCTTTGGTCGTTTGGGGTTGTTTGGGAGGTCTCCCTATTTCAATCCTGCGCCCAACTAAAGAGGCCCTGGTGAGGCTAGTTTTTAGTGTGTCGGTAGTCCCTTGATCTGTGATGTTGATATCAAGAAGGATCCAGGAATAGCTTATGTATATATATATATGTATATTATATGTGATCTTATTTGGTGGACAGTTTTGTCAGGAACCTGGAATCTCTATTTACACTACTTGCTAGTGGGTGAGCATTTCCATCGGAGGGACAAGACCAAGGCCTAGGCATTTCAAAACAGTGATCAGGTTTGAGATGATTTGAGGAACAACCCTGTGTTTACAGTGAAGTCATTGACACATCTGCTTGAACACCAACCAACCTTCTTCATTGACCTATGTACTACCCTCCCTAAATTTAACGGAGCACCTCATGCTACAGACATGCTCGCTAACCTTACCAACTTACACCGGAGGCTTCCTGAGATGATGAGGCCGAGACCTCGAATTCTCGACGCGGCGTAGAGACATGCGTTCACTAAGCAAACCCGCGACTGCCGAGAGAGAAAACACACACACAGCAACAAATCTATCAACTAAGAAAGCACATCGCGCCCTTTGATGCATCCACTCGCTACAAAACCGACTGAGACGGCTCCATCTTTTGCCCCCCAACGCACACCACCCCCCGGTCGCCGGCCGCTTTCCAGGCGCAGCGCAGCTCCCTCTTCAGCGCTTATGCGTGGCTCGGTGGTACGGAGTCACCGGGGAGATGGCGGTGGGAGGAGGTCGGCCCAGATCCACCAAGTACGACCGGACCCTCCAAGAGGTGTTTGTACATAGCCTCTTGGAGGCGCAAGAGGTGTCCAAAAACCACCTGTTGGAAGGTCCTGGTATATAATGGAGGATTGGTGAGAACAGGCTGTCTTCTGGTTGATTGGATGTGAACAACCCGAGCGAAATCATGTGTTTGTTCCTCTCTTCGGTCGGGTGCTGCTACGTAGCAACCTCCCTTCAGTGTATTGGTTCAATGATGGATTGTTGATTTTGCAATGTCACTGTCTCATCCGGTCGTAGTCGTGTTTTGCAGATCACAGACCGGCACAGGCGGCACAGGACCGTTAGGACGGCGACGTTAGGACCATGGACTCCGTGGGTCATGGTGCGTCTAACTGGCCCATCCACTCTCCGCGGTGGAGGATTTGTTTGTTTCATGAACTTTGCCCGCTTTGCCCCAACAGAGATGATGCAATTGGAAGCCACAGAAGGAATCAGAAGGATGTCCTGATGCAGGTTTTTGCACCCGATGTAACGATGTTAGCAGCTAAGCAGAAGTGACGATCAGGATTGCAAGGATCAGAGCAAAACGCGGCGAGGTAATTGGATCGTGTTTCTTTTTCTTCTTTTTTCTTGTTTTTTGCAAATGAGTCAAATGAGGAACACCACCAGCACCATCTTGGGGGCTGGAACCTTGGCGGTGCCCATTGCCATGAGCAGCGCCGGGGTCGTATCTTACGCACCCCGATGCAGGAAGAGGGGGCATGGCGATCGTCAGGCGTCTGGGCGACCTTAAAAAGAAAAACACCAAGATTGTCAGCTGGGAACCATGGGGAAATCATCTTCAGAACCTGCCAAAGACATGATGTGGCCACATTCCACTGGACATCTACAAGAAGAAGTTGGTGAGGCCCCAACTTTCAGCGACACCTCATGCACACCAGACGCGTGGGCGTCGACGCCCGTGGCTGCACGTGGTTCCTGCAATCCAAGGGAATTGCAATCAATTTCTGGAAGCGAATGACCTCCAACCTGGAAGGGAATGGCCTCCATGAATTTCTAGGATGAGCCTCTGGGTAGGATGGGTCCAATGAGGGTTGCTGTCCCAAGAATCCATTTAGCCTGCCGTGGGGATGCAAACTAATACTCAGAATTCTGGATCATTGTCCGATAGCGTCGTTTCAGAGTATCTTGGCGCAGATGTCCTTAGACGTCCTTTGGGATGGAGGGTCCATTTTAACCAACCAAGTTGGGGTAACTTGTGCCATCTACTGCTGAAATTACTCAACTGTGCCTCCACTTGTTAGTGAAGATAGTGAAGTTCTGAAAGGAGTTCAGTGTTCTACTACGACGGAGGTGCTTGTTGTTCACGTGCATCTTGAAGCTCAGAAGACCGTTTGCCTGCATAGCACCGTCGACCGGGTTCTTCCACGGGCGAAACTCCACGAAGAAAACCTCTTCGCTGGACCTGAGGCCCTCATTACGATCTTCGTGATCATGGTGAATAGCCAAACCGTGCCTTGGACTGCACCGGTTTTTTCCTCAGGGGCTCCAGCCTGGAAGGCCCAGCCTTGCGCTGCTAAAGCTGCCTTTGCTACTTTTGGGGTGCAATCTGATCCCAACTTGGTGACGCTTGATGGCCACTCAACACTTCAAAAGGACTTCTAGCCGGCTGCCAGCCACTCCCCCACGTGTGTTTTGTAGTGTGCAACACTTCTACTGCACCACCACCTCAGCAGTTCCTGCTGTTGATCTACCCACAGCACCAGTTGATAGGCCACGTGGTTGGTTCGCGTGGCCGACCATTTGCCCAAGTCGGAGGGCAACGCTGGGAAGAACTATGAGGGTATCGCCAAAAGCCACCTGGAAAAAATTGGAGTGAGGGGATTGGTGACTAGTGAGACATGTTGCGGCAGTTGGGGAGACTGGAACTTGACATTGTTCTTGGACCTTGAGGGCAGGTGCTTGAATGTTGCACGACTGATCATTTTCGGGTCCCAGCTACGTAGGTTGATCCGGGTCCGCGGTCTGCTCGCGCCTTCAATCCGACGGTTCGCCCGATGATGTTGCTGAGAAGATTGCTGGAAAGAGTTCGTAGGAAACATATTGCAGATAGGGTGTTTCTCTTTTCAATCAAATTGTCAACTTCGGTGAGATTCGATTCTTACAGGGCCTATAGGATAGAATAAGGGGTAAGGTCAATTTACTTGGAACAGGTCTCAATGTCTCTTTTTCTGAAACGACGAGGTTGGAGCGACCTTCGACCAGGATGCAAGCTCCTCCCCAATTCTCCTAGATATCAAGAACCTCAGCCTCAAGATCTCCACCATCCTCACTCTGATCAGATGGAGAAGTCAGAGAAATGTACTTCATTTTGCTTAAAAGAAAAGGTCTCGCTGGCCAGCTGTTCCGCCACACTGCCTGCTGTTCCTTCAGGCTACCTGGGAACCAGGGCTGCCCACCTGACTCTTGGAGCGAAACAGCGGCGCGGTACGCCAGGGTATGGCTATTGTATAATATATATATATATCATATATATATATATATCCCTTTGAACGGAAGGACCTCATTTGGCAAAGTGTTTGACACATGTTTAAACATATCGACTTGTTTATTTGCCCTTTCATCGCTGAGGTGACCACTGAGGTGCAGTAAGGGCGCCCCTAGACTGTAGACTGTCCTACCAATGGCTCTTGTTGGGTATGAAAACGGCACCTGTTCCTCCTGTCCCCTGCCATGCTAGAAAAACTGTTCGGTTCTGCCGCGCCGTCCAAGCTCCTTCCTAGGATCTCATTAGTCTTTGTCTTCAGCGGCTTGTCCGTCGGAATGTCCCGGATGCTCTTCAGTGCGGTTTCTTGGCCAAAACTCTTAGGTCAGCTGTGTTATCTTGAAAAGAAACGAGAAAGGAATAGAAAGGAACACCTGGCAGCCGAAGCGATGTTCTCAAAGCGGTGCTGCTATGGGACTGCAGGGGAGTGTGTCTCCCTGCAGAGTGCTCCATGGGCTCCTCGTGGAGTGCGTTCACCACCTGGGACTGGTATTTGGAATGGCTGGTCATCCGAACTCGGGGGCCATCCACGTTGGCCCATGATTTCAGAGGCTTAGAATAAGCGAAACGGGTGATGGCTCATGGTCTTAAAGGATGAGCACCTGTCAGATGGAACCGACGTCAGAATTCGTTGTCGTGAAATTCACAAAAAAGGGACCCAGGGATCAAAGATGATCAAAGGGATATAATTGTTTAAACTTAATTTCAACATGTATCATATTATACTGGTAAACATCCAAAGTCGATGTATGTCCGCTTGTTTAGGCACTTTGGGGCCCATGCTTGATCCTCTTTGTTCAGGCTTTGCGTTCATCTGGGAATTAAGGTGGTCATCATTCGGATGAAAGGACACGTCAGACAGCGCTCGGTATGCGCCATATGCACACGTGCCATCCGTCTTCAGCGCACATCCAGCGCTCTGCGAGGATTGCCTGGCGCCTCTTTTCGCGACATGGCTGGCGGAACCCGAGCGGCCCACTCTGAAGCTCATCCAACGAATGGAGACTTGACGGTGGAGAGGAAGGTGGAGACCTGCATCGGGGCCTTTGGGGCGCTGCGGGGTTGACTAACAGATATGTAAACCTTATCAAGCACGTAAGCCCAAAACTCATGGGACACCCTTCGGATGGTGCTGGTATGTATGGTTAACATTGGAAATTCAAGTCAGGTATTGGTGGATCTGCCCAAGTGCACAGGAAAAGTGTATGTATGATGCTCCGAATCTGTACTCGCCACGGTTTTATGGTACAGGTCGCATTTTAGGAGTGCTGCATGCAAGAAATATTCCTTCCACCGTAGGGTCATCATTTTGGCTTGTTTGATGCTGGCCTGAATGGTGTGTTTGTGTGTGGCACACTCTGTTTCCAAGAGTTTTGCGTTTCCGAAATCACTTTCACAGGGGCGTGTGGCCTTCTTGTCCTACCACACGCAACGAAGCTGTGGACAAGAAGGGGAAGCAGGGACTGATCATCCCTGTGTACCTGCGCTGAACACGACAATGACTCCACTGGTCTCCCTTCTTGCTGTCTTGTTGATTTCATGTTTTTTCCTCATGGTACTTCCCACAAACCTTGTTCCACACTGATGTGCAGCTGTGCCACCGCAGCTTTCCGCAGTCACGCGTGAACTCTTTGTTGAAACACCTTCAAATCCGTGGACACAGCCGCCTTCCTGTTCCATCACTCCTTTTGACGTGGACTATGACACTGGATGAACCTGTGACTAAGTGTGTCTCTCACAAGTTGGGGTGCTGCTTTGCGGTTGCTTTGACCTGTAAGTTCCGAATTGTTCAGGCTAGCTCTGAAAGAAAACAGCCTGCTCTTTCAGACGGTGGAACATGGGCTTGTAGGTTCCAAAGGTTCCTGGCAGTGGGTCAAAAACCGGACCCTGCTAAGTTAACCTCTCAAATGGAGTCCATGTTAATTTTCCGTAGGGAAAAAGCAGGGTTCCCCGCGCAGGGTTCCCCACGGCCATTTCAAAGGATGTTTTTGCAGGTCACGCAAACGTGTGACGCATGTGGCGCAGTTACCGCTGCGCGACCTGGAATCGATGGAGTTTTGGGGCTGCCAAATGGGTTCCTGTGAAAAAGCCTTGGATGTTTCAAGCGGCTTTGCATCTAGAATTCCTGCTTTGAGGAAAAGGCATCAGCTCCTTAGGTGGGGACCAGCTCCTTAGGTGTACAGTAGGTGAAAATTTGTTCCTTTCGGGCCTCGGCGTGGCTGACACATTTCTGTGGACCTGAACCATCACTGTTTTCGCCACCATAGATTGCTGTTTCTCCAGGCGTTTCCTGTGTTCTTCTTCATGGGGCAAGATGGGCCAGCCATGCAGCCCTTCAACCATCTTCAACCATCCAATTCTCCTGGTTTTCTGGGTCTCCAATTGCAATCTAAACTGCAATAAGACTACCCACACCAACCCATCAATGGCAAAGCACTGAGGTTGTACTGTAACGATTTCAAGCATCGATTCCAAATGCGAGACGGCGAGACACGGACACGTATCCTCAGTGGACCGCCCATGACCGCTCCAAAAAAACCCGCCCAAATCGCTGAACTTCCCTGGGGTGTACTGGATGCTTCAGCACCCTAGAGGAACGAAGAGTGCTTTGGGCTGCGGGTTTTGGACTGGCGCCTTGGAGTCAGCCATCATCAGCCCCTTTGATCGCCCTGATCGAAGGGCGTGCCGGGGGAACAGGGTGCATCACATACATTTCTGGTTTCTTGAATGGTTTTGGATCCTCCCCTGCCATTCGGGCCACCATGGGCCACCCCCGCCTCAACCACGTCGGGTTGGTAAGAACGGAACATGGGTCGAAAATAGTCGAAACCATGTCGTCAATTCTCAGAGTCCATAAGTCGTCCGTCTGCGGCAGAAGGGGGTTGTGCCTTGAGCCTTGGGTCCACAAGGTCCACAAGTTCGCCCGTTGCAGGAAAGACCAAGAGTCACCTTCTTGCGCTTTCGAAATACAGTTGAGCAGGCCCACCACTGATTTTGCAATCATAAGTAGACATCCGCCACAACTGCCGTAGAGCCAACAGACCGCCCTAAGATGGTGTAAGTAAGTGTTGTTTTCAAGATGTTCAAGAGCCCAGACCTTTTTGGTGTAGTTCATCCCAAGTGGATCCTCGATCCCCTGAGACACTCTTAGTATATGGGATCCGCTGTACTTCGCGCTGAGGTGCTGCCACTGGGTTTGCTGCGCGACATCTCCAAGCTTCAGCCCCTCAGCGGCGGTGGGGTCACGGAGCAGTGAATTCCACTGGTCTCAGCGGGGCTTTTACGACGTGTTTTGGTTCGAACGAGTCGAAGTCCAGAAACACGTCGTCCGTAAGCGGCGAGCTGACCCGTGACCAGCGAGTGAACGCGGTCGGAACAGCGCGCGGTCCGCGTGCTTCATTCGCAGCACCGACGATACGTGGTTTTCCACCGCTGGTTTCGTTGCTCCACAGGTGTCAGCTGTACAGACGGCTTTTGCCTCTACAGCTTTCTTTTGTACGGGACCGACTGTCAATTAGTGCATTTGGATAGCAGATGCGAAGTTTAATGGGCAGTGTTGGATCAACAAGTCGTTTGGCAAAGATGAATTAGAAGCAGTGTGGCCCGAAGCTTGTTCAGACGTGTGAAGAATGTATGATTGCAACCAAAAGGAAGCTTGGTCAACGCCAAGGCTTGGAAAAATGGACAAACTGGACAGACTTCTTATCAGCACCCTGGTCCAGCAGTTGCTGTAAAGGAGAAGAAGCTTAAAGTCGCATCATCCTAAATCATGAGGACTCGCCTGCAGATTCGGTTTTTGATGGATGTCAAATGTTGGGACATATTGATGGAGGCCTGATCTCCAAACCAATTCGGCACGATCTCCCAAGCCCCAGAACCTTTCCCAAACAAGATCTTTGACACCAGGACACCACGGAGTTGACTGGTCTCTTCCATCGCAGCTCTTCGCTCCTGTAGGTCATCTGACTCCATCTGACTCCCCATGTGATACCGACGGCACCCGTCGATTCGCGCCGAACCTCCCGAAGCTTCGGCACGCTGGGCGCGGCGGCCCCGGCGTCGCTTGTGCTGCGCGGGGGCACGGCGATCTCGGCCGAGTGAGGTGCACGTCGAGCCTGGCGGTGGTGTCCCTGGGCCTGACGGTCGCCTTCATCGTCTACTGCGCCAAGACTTGCGCAAAGAGGGGAGAGAACACTCTGACAGCAAGGGGCTCGTGGTGTTCGCTCGGGGTGGAAGACTTTCTAAGATGATCTGTTGGGGAAAATGGCGAAAATTGGAGCTCCCAAGGGTTGAACGACATCTGTGGAGGGCCTGAAGAAGGGGGTCTTGGTGTTTGAGAGTTCATGCAGGAGTGCGGGCAATGAAGCTGCAACCTACTCGGTATTTGGTGGATTGGTCTCTAAAGACTTGGTGAATGTGAGGGGCAGAAAAGGGCACTGTTTGCTGTTCCCGCAGAAAGTGGGTTAACTGTACTCTGTTGTTGGAGGTGTCGTAAGACAGTTTGCTCACTCTATCTACCTCAACTGGTGCAAGAGTCGCAAGTTAGTCCACCCACTGCTTATAGTTTGAATCTCGGCGATCAGGACTCTTTTCGTCGTTTGACCCGTTCCTATGGGAGCCTTTGCGCTATGTGGGGGCTACTTCCACCCTAACCTGTTGCAAGGCATTTGTCCCAGACTCGTGTGGATTCGTTGTTGGTCAGCGGTCAGCGGTGCTTGTTGAATCTACCACAGGATCCTCGAGATGGGGAAGATGTAGTGTTTTTAGTACACACGTTTAAACCTCTTAAGGTCAGATTTGTTTGTTCGGAATCCCTGCTTGCTCGTTGATTTCGAACAAACGACCAAGTGACCCAGCAGCCAAGCAGCCACCAAGCAAATCAGCCTACCAGCCAGCACACTAACCAAACCGTCAACAATATCATTGTGTTTTCAGAACCTACCTGAGAGGTGCCAGAATGGAACGAATCAATCCATTATGATCCATTGATCCCAACAATTCCCCGCATATTCCAACTTCTTCCATCTTCAAAGCAATCCCAAGATACACACAGTTGGGTGACCATAAGTGCTCAGTTGCTTGTCACGCAACTCCGATGTCGCATGTTCTTGATTGGCCTTGACATGCCTTCCGAAACCATGGGTCCATGGGCCGGTCGGGCGTTAACTATGGCAACCAGTTTTCCGCTGTAAAGAAAATCCCTTGCCATCTCCGAGGCAACGCCGAGGCACTTCATGAGCATCCCCATTTGGGCAAGGGCTTCCAACTGGTGAACATCGTAAGCCGGTGAAACCGGGACGACGCGCGGGCGTGGGCGCGGGCGTCCGCGGGACGACGAAGGCAGGCGTTTTGTGCGTCCGTCCTCTAAGGGACGGTGTTTTTGAGTTCTTTGGGGTTGAAGATGGCAGAACTGCAAGCTGCAAGGGAAACATGTAACTTGCAAAAGTTGGGATTGGGACACTTGGAACTTAGAGGTCTTAGTCGTGATTGGAGGTTGCCTTGTCTTCAACAGGCTCTTGGTGATGTTCTTGAAGCACCCCGACACCAAAAAACAACGGAACTCAATCAATGGCCTTGTATGGAGTAATTTCGGGACTTCTTCAGTATTTTTGTTTGCAATCCTACATACAGAGGCTCCTGAATAGACAGGGTCCAGGGCGGGTTGTTCATGGGTTTTTCATCAACCATGTTCAGGTCCCTGCAGGCCGGTCTGTGGATCAACGCCGCCCAAGGTTCAGGGCAACGGGTATGTCAATGGATACAGGTCTGTGGATGATGTGGATCAACAGGTACGGATGGTGTGGTTTTTCATAGGTTGTTCATATACATGGTGTTTGTATATCAAAAATCTAAGACGCTTGGTGTCCGGGTTGTCATGACCCCATGCATTGTGTACGCCGCGGGAACAATGGTATTTGTCCGGGCTTGGCTGTTCTTTTTTGCCCTCGCTAGCGCATCTATGAGGACAGTGCCTTCTTCCTGAGCTTAGCAATGACCAACTCAAGCCTCTCTTGCTCCTTGGCTAGGAAATTAGGCGCCGTTTGGGGGAAGCTCGACCCACGAAGCACTCATGGATTCATATTTGGATTCCCAACTTGTCAGAGGTTCATTTTGCGAAGTCCCTGGGTTTGGGGATCCTTCGTCTGAGTCTTAGATGTCTATCTTGTTTTTCATATACCTTTACTGCCATCATCTGCCATCATTTCTTGGCCTCTTGGCACCTACTCCCTGTCTTCCCAAACAGCCAGTCTTAATTCCAGACACCCAACTGCCATACTGGGCTAAATATGTATATTTTTTTTACTGGTTCTGGTCACTTGGTTGTGAGAAAGCACGTTTCAGGCCACAAATAGATATCAACTCCCACCGACGGGATTCACGAAACCCGTCCCTGGTCACCCTTTGCAGGTCAGAGGATGTAACATCAAACTGGAGGCGCTTGGACTCTCCCCCCTTCAAACACAAGAGCGCCCTCCAACCAAAAAACACGCTGGGCTTTTTGAAGCATTGCCCAACAACTCTTCAACTCTTTCAGGCCACATCTCGGTGATTCCCATCTACGAATCCTTGCGCGGCGGCGATGTGAAGACCATGAGATCCTCCGCTGTACCATGAGATCCTCCCAAGTTCGATGCAACCCTCGCGCCGATTCGAGGGAATTTCCCCGTGGGATCCGAAGATCGGTTCCCAACTTCCAAACAACTGCGGTGATAGGAATGATCCACCTCGAGGATCTTCCGGGTGTGGGACATGTTTGGACCAGGATTGGCGGATCGCTGGATCCTGTCATGGCACCACGGCAAAAGAGGCATCAGCAACCCCCCTGCACCGCCATTGGAGCACGTCGAAACCGCGTGGTCTGGTCCATGGGATTCACAAGCAGGAGCGTAGAGTCTAGTGGATCTACAGTAGGTGAATGGAGCTGTGTCATTTTGGACCTGGCTCACAGCCGGCTGTGTCATCCAGGAAACATTATCCTCGCTGCCCTTGCAACCAGTGCCCTAGTGCAGCTTGGCAATTGGTCAAGGCCTATTTGCTCGACCTAGTGCTGTCCTGACTGTTGCTGCTTATGAATGATGTAGACCTATACCTTTGCAATCACCTACAGGTATTTGATGAGCATACCCATGTCATACAACACAACATATTGATCACTGGATTTGGTGCCTCCCAAACATGCTCCTCCTCGTACGTTCTGCGCTCCGTCAGAGAAAAGTCTTGTTGTTGGGAAAGCCTGGGCCTTGCCAAAACGCGGGCCGTTCGGCCGTTTAATGAATGGCAGGGCTCTTCACTCTTCTCGCTGACAGGTATCAGATGGTCGGTTTCAGCAGCTACCTGCGCTTTGGACATTTGACCTCCGGAGAGGCCAGTAACATTCTGGAGGTGGTCACCGAGCAGGTGAACCCCCACACGGAGCCCATGAAGTTCCTACGCGCTCCAATCCGCTGCCGTCGTTGACGGTGGTCTTTTCTTGTTGGGAGACAAGGTCGGAGAAGAAGAAGTAAATGGATGGGAGGTGCGAAGCCATTGATAAATATACTGCAAATAGATGGTGGACAGATGATGACCAAAATTAACGTATTTTGCGTGGGGGTTGGAGAGGGAAAAAGTGTTCCCACGAGTCCTTGGGGTCAGTTTCCACGTTCATGTGAGTGAGTTGGAGGGTAACCACACTGAAGTAAACACCATTTGCCTAATTGTAGACTGTTGATAAGTAAAACCCAAGTAGGTATTACACGGTGTTACTGTTGGTGTGTTGAGTGGTGTTACATGGTGTTACAATCCAAATGTGTGTTGTTTTGTTCACACTTGAAAACACAGTGAAGACCCAATTTCGTACTCGCTTCACCCACTGAGCCAAGGGGTGATCCAGTGGATGCGTTGACTCGCAAGTGCGCGGGCATCGGTGCGTTGAAGCGCGAGTGCGCGCATCCAAATGGGGTGGCTTTATTCATCAACAGTTTACATTCCTGTAGAACTATTGTGTGTGTTTGGACTCGCGAGCACCCCATGGCCCTATGGGGTGTAACCTGTTTTCACACACCCAGACTTCTGCGGTATCATATGTTTTGAGATTTTCACAAGGCATCCCTACTCAGCTTGAAGCTGCCAAATGAGTTCTTGGGTTTTTCTCATGAACTCATGTAGCATGTCATCAAAGGCCTGGCGTACACAGGGGCGTGAACATGAGGATTCCGATCCTCTCCATTGCTGGAAGAAGCGACGTAGAGCCGGCGAGTCGCAGCGATCCAAGTGCCAAACAGACAATTGAGTCGACGTAGCTGTGCTGCTGTTCCACCCACTAGAGTCTACTAGAGCTATAGAAGGCTCCACCCACATCCTTCCCCAGCGGAAACGCTTTGAGACAAAAGCCCATTTGCGCCAGCCTGTCAGAAGCATGGCCAAAAAGAATTCGATGAGTTCTGAACCACGGATGGTGGGCATCAAACACGTCCCTCCTCACCTCCCGGCGCCGAACCGAGCCGTTTTCGTCCGCACCGAACGGCGAATCGCCGCGGAGCGAGGTTTACTCTAGCAGCCATCGCTGGCGCCAGCGTCGCCTCGAGCCTGATCCTAGGGATGCCTGTCGTGCCTGGAAGAGAAGGGAGGAAGGACGAACGAGTCCGAGGCCAAGGGAAGTGGTGAAGCAAAGAGGTGTGGAGACACCCAACCAATGGGTAAAGCATGGTAAAGCTTACAAAATCTTGCAAATTCATTTGCATGCCAACAGGGTGAGCTACTCTGCCTCACCCCTATCCAAATTAATTCCGCGACATGTTGCTGTGGGTCGTTTTGGAGTCCTTACTCAAAATCCCTTCATTGACGTGTTCATGCCACTTCGTAGCCAAGTGGCCACTCATTCGACACCGGCACCGGCGTCTCGGTCGGTATAGGAACCTCTTGTACGCTCGACTCACCTCTACCCGAGGAGGGAACTACACGTAGCTACATATCCCCGAGTTACCCCCCGCAAGACGCAGTCACCGGGGGGCGAAGCTTCCGCAAGCCCTTGCGTTCCACTGACGGCCGTGTTACCCTGACGGCTTCGTCAGTCGTCCTTATATCAACCATGGGGTTTTGATTCGTCCTTCTTCCAAAGAAAGGTTCGTTGCACTGGGAGGTCTCAAAGAGCCAAACCCATCTGCTGCCAGGCCATTGGGCCGGGACTGGCAGCCCTGCGTTTGACCTGAAGGAGAGGGGGCCAGGAGTGTTTAGCTTCGTCGCGCCCCCCCCCCCAAAAAAAAGGTTTTTACAAAACCCAGACGCTCCATGTATGGTATATATGCCTACATTGGGGGTCCGGGGCTCCCAGTGGGGAATCACCTGGAGCCGTGCTCCTGGAGTTTGTTCTATCGAACTTGCCCTCTTCCCGGCTTTTCCGGAACCGCTCCGGAACGGCGCTCACCGTGCTGCTGCGCTCACCGTGACCACCCAGGTGCTTTGGGCGCTCCGCTCGGTGCTGCTGAGCTACGCGCGCTTCCACGTGCGCTCCTCGAGGGGCGCCAACGGTGAGATCTCGCAGCTGGAGTGGTCCTTGGCCACTGGGCGTTGCACGCCCAGCCCACCGTGTCCGGGCGATCCGGGCGGTCTGTGAGTGATCTATGGTGATCTTTGTCCTGAGTGAATCCAGTTTTATCCATCTTTTTGGTGGTTTCTTGATTCCCGGATTCATGGACGGCAAATCCAAGCTTTGGAACGTGTCGGAGTGACATTGAGATTCAGGCATGTTCAGGGTATCCCAGGCCAAAGTTTCTAAAACATGCATTAGATTGCATTGTATAGTTATTTCATGCTCATTCGTGTCTGTTCACCAGGGTGCAACTTTAAAGACGGGTGAATCGATTTTCTGTGTTCACCGGTGTATTTGCTCTTTTTGCTCTCTATTCATACACCTGCCAGTGTTATGTGAGGTGGTTTTGGGCTTGCAATGAGAAGGGAACCCAATTGGAGAGTCAGTTGCCCGAGCGTTTGAGGAGTTTTGGAGGAGAGAACAAGATAGGTCACGGGTTTTGAAATGAATATGTACAATGTACCCACCAATATGGAGGGTCCCCGCTTGCTTGTCCTGTTGTGATTGTGAACCAACTGTTGAGAGATATGGATGTGTATAAAAACTGGCAGACCTAGTACATAGACCCAATGGAAGAAGGGACATTGACCAAAACCCATTGGTTGGGAGTATGTATTCCCCAGCATTTTCTGGTGCAGGTGTGAGGTTTGCATTTGTGGATTCGTACACATGTATGTGAAGTATCAGAGTAACACGAAAGCCTTTAACAGAAGCAGCTTGCTGGAGAAAACACACATGCTTTCAATTCAAAGGTTTAAATTCCAGGTTCGACAAATCACTTGTGTTTCAATCTTTTATTTTGTGCAAGCTGCCTCATTTAGCACACCATACACATCATCAAACATCCTGCCTACGCCCAACTTTTGTTTGCTCACCCCAATCATCGCAGAAGCCAACAATAAGAACTACAGGTATTCATCTCCATTGGGCAATGGCAACAAACCTCTATGAGGGCTGAACTGGTTGGAGCTTCACGAACGTGGATTTGATTTGACGTCGCCTCCCGAGGCTACCTTGGGCCTCATGATGACCATTTTGGTGTTGGCCACTGCCGTGCCTGACATTCAGGTGGCCATGTCCCTCGGGGGCTCTTTGGGGGGCACCTTGGCAGACAAGTTGGGCATGTGACGCCATGACTAGACTGTTGAATAAAACAGCACAACAACAAAACAACAACCAGACTGGTTTTAACTCTCCATATGGCGGGTTTCTTTCATTGATCAACGGCTGATGATGTGATATTCGAGAATGGTGGTGATCAGGATTGATGTTGACGGGGGATGTTCTTGTCGATGCTGGTTGGTTGATTACTGTATAATGTTCACATTCCATGGAAGCGTTCACAAACAGCTGTTTTCACTCCACTTCCATGTGAGGTGTTCGTCGGAGGGTAGGTGATGTTGCTTTGCTGGATAAGGGTCCAAGATCTTGGCTTTGACTTTTGAATTCACTGATCTTCCGGGCGCAAATCCGTACCAGTACCAATGGTTGTTTCCAGGTTTTTCTGGGCAACCTAGCGTGCAACATCAAGTGCGCTTTGAGTTCACTATATATTTATTATATATAATAATATGCTTATGTATATTGATTTCTATTCATTATCATTCCACCTAGACTGGCAGTTTGAACCTATTTGCCACATGAACATCAAATTATTCTACCAAGCGAAAGTCAAGGCCAGTCGAAACTCCACTGTTATGTTTCATCTTGTGGATCTCAGCTACCTTCAACGACAGAGGATGGAAAGCGAAAACTAGATATCCCACAACACCCTAAAAGCTGGTGATCATAGACGATGCCCGATCAAGAAGCTACCCTGTAGAAACCCTGATTATACCTTGAGAACACCTTCTTTATTTGCTCTTTGGTATTGATTCTATTTTTCCCAAAAAAAACACGTTCCCCAACGTGACCAATCCGCCGACCCGTTGCACGGGTCAGTGGTTTTCTCAATCTCAGGTACCTTCATTTCCTTCATGTATCCCGCGCTCTTCCATCTCACAGTGGTCAAGAAGGTCACCAACTTCCGAGAAGCCTTCTGCCCAGCGAACCTCCGTGAGCTCTTGGTGATCGCCATGAGCGTGACCTGGCGCTCTCGGCGATCGCAAAAGCCCCCAAGTGAGTGACAAAAGCGAGGATCTCGGGACCGAAGTGAGCGGAGAGAAGGGGGTGTGCGAATGGGGTGTTGGGCCTGGCAGAACGATGCTTCCTGAAAAAGGTTACAGCCTTCCAGATTTAGAGGTCTACATGTTCTACCTTTGGCACCTTATGGGTGGTCAAAGATTTCAAGTTCCAGTTTTTTTGCTGTTCTGAAGAAGGTTCAAAAGCACAAGCTCACAAATTTTTGAGTGGGGATCGCTTTAGTAATGTTTTGTATCACCTATTGCGCAGACACTGATTTTTTTGGGCTTATCTACAGTACTACTTGTGTCACATGGGTTTTCCAATAGCTCGAACAGCAATCATCATGAATGTGATTCTTATGGACTCCAATGATCTTCAATGACTGGCTTAGGTGGTCTATGGTGTTCTTTGCTTATCGATCTCCTTGCGGCGAGTGATGAGCAAGCTCTCTGAGAAGGACATAGAACTGGATGCGTCGAACAGCACATCAAGTGAGGCTTGGAGCTCATCGGTTTCAATCATGTGGTGAGCCCGAAAAGCAGAGATCCTGCATCACTGCAAGGAAAAAGGACAGATGGACCATTGTTTCGTCAACCAAGCGAAGAAACCATGGAGTCGATACATGCATGATACACCCTGATAACAAGTAGTTTGTCAGTGATGCCCCTAGAGCAGTTTTATGCTCTTCTGGATGTTCCACTTGTTGTTTCCTGTAAGTGACCAAATATACCGGCCTAGACCCCAAACAGTGTCAGCCTTGATTTTTGGTATAAAACCGTCTTTCACTCGAATTCCGGTGGGAACGCCTGCATGGAACTATAGCCAGCCTCCAAACTGTTTGGGGTTTGCGGTCGCCAATCCGAAAAACCCGACTCTCCGGCCCAAAGATGATCGAAGAGACCGAAGAAGACCGACGTGTCCGCGCGATCTCCGCGCGGGCCGTGCGTCGTTCCACGGAGCCACCGAAGAAATCGGAAAGCAAACACCCCGAAGGGGTGTCTTTCGCGCGCTTGCCATGTTTGTTCTGCCAACGTACCTGTAAAAAAGAGCCGCAAAATACCGCTGAAACAGGCGCAAGCGCGGGAGCTGAGTCACTGGAGGAGGAAAGTGAGAAGGATTTGGATGGATTTGGTAGGCGCCAGATGAAGAGGATGCTAAGAGATGCTAAGAGTACTTATAGGAGGTCTACGGCACTTGCTACGACCATTCCCAGATTTGACAAGCTGTCTTGGGCGAATTCTGCATTCCTATTTGGTGTAGTCAGTGTGTCACTATGTTGGCTGTTCTTGCTTCCAGTGGCAGCTTCAGACAGCTGGCACCTGTGTGGTATCATCTCCCACATAGATGACAAGATCTAGAATGAAGTTAGCCGAGAAGCTTAGCTTCTCTCTTTAAACTAAACTCTGGAGACTTGCTGTTTGTTCTTTTTTTCCAAGCCCCAAGACGTCTGCGGCCATTCTCAGAACAACGGGAGGGTTGCACCAAGCGGAGCGCTGGGCAACGAAAAAGAAGGCGTTGGAAGGGCGGAGGGAGCACGCCGAGCGGATGGGCCACGAAGCGCCGAGCATCAGGTTCGGTTCATAAAGAAGACCAAAGACCGAGCGTCAGGTTCGGGTCATGTAGACTCGTGAACCAAATAACAAACATGTGGATTTGTAAAATCATGTAAAACATTGTAAAACCTATTTCCGGTTAACCGGTTGAGTAATGAAGAGTCTACAGTCTACGTATACATGATGTCTAGATGGATGATGTGGGTTCCGGAAATAGAAAGGAATGTCGTTTGTCGCACGTGACACAGTGGTGACCCTGGCGATGGAAATGGTGTCCATTTTTTCCTTGAAGTCCGTCTTGTTGTGATTGGGGAGGCGATTGGCATGAAAACAGAACAAGGCCCCCAAACAAGGCCCCTGCTTGTTTGGCAAGAACCTATCGCTGATTTCGTGAACAATGGAATAAAGATATGCCATTTTCTATGCAGCATTATGCAGTGCAGTATATAATAGATCATCATAGGCGTTTTCCGTTTGGTTTTTCTGTAAAACGTCCGCTGCAACAAGCCACGAAGCGAACGTGATCGCATCTCGCAGGCGACATGGAGGGTCTGAGTCTCAGATGGAAGTTCCCCCCCCCGACATCAGTCTGTTCATAGAACATCAGTCTGAGCTCAGATGACAACACATCCAAACTGCCACATCCAAGTCTATTTCAAGTGGACGGGGGTCTAGAGCCGTATTCTGCGACCGGCTCTCGGTCCAGAAAAACACGCTGAGCTCGGCCATTGGAACCTTTACACTTTACACACATGCTTGTCCGGCTGGGAACTCAGGTCTTTCTCATCCGTCCGGGAGGCTCAGAAGCTCGGCCCGTCGTGCTGCTCCAAGCCGCCGTGCTCGGCCTTTGAGAAGCTGCGGGAAGGAATGGAGGCAATATGGATGAAACAGGTCAAGAGACAGGAGATGACAGGATGCATAGAAGCTATTGGAGACACCTGAGAGGACACTCTCACTTCTCTAACCACCTCTTTGATGTTGCGGGATCATGAACATCATACCTTCTTCTTGCAACTGATTCATTTGGAGGATCAAACCTGTAAGGACTCAAACCACCCGGCTTCCGAGACCGCTTGGTATGGACCATGCTGGAGCAGCTGTTCACTCATACCAAGCCGACGTGGTGTTCAGATCTTTGGAACCATCCCGTCGCAGCGATCGAACCGAACGGGAAGCGATCGGAAGAAGAAACGGAAGCAAACGGACGAAACGGACTTCTGGCCTTGCGACTATAGGATGACTATAGGAATAAGAAGCTATTAATAGAAACAATCTGGGAGAACCCTGGGAGACCTGGACCGCCGGTCCGAGCCACAGGACCGGATCACAAAGTAAAAAGGGGACATGGCAGCGGAGGGGCACCTTTCTCTGGTTTTGTGAAACAGGTGAGGTGGATTTTTCCCACGTTCCTTCTCTCCATCCCCTAGCATGGGGAGTCTATAGTACGCTCTTTTTGTCCGGTTTCAATCCAAGGCTACCAAGCAAATCTTTTATGACATCCCCTAAGCAGACTCGTGCTTAGTAGGGAATGAGGGAATGAACCACCCCTGTAGATACTTCAGGATCCATTCCCTTATTCCTTACTTTCTGCGCCGTGAATTGAAGAGGTTCAGATGCTTCTTCAATCTCTTGGTCCTCCATCCTTCCCAAAGCGTTGCTCTTAGTCCTCCCTGACAAGGACGCTTTCAGACGCTGTTGGGCGGTCCCGAAGCCCTGAGGTCCATGGGTCCCGTCGCTTTGGTGGGCGCTGGCCCTGGGGATCCCGAACTCTTGACCTTGTGGCGACCTCGGACAACGACCGCGCGACCGCCGGTCCGCCTTCTTTGGGGCCCGGTCGTTGATGGGGAAGGCGGACAGGTGGACAGGGGCGGCGACGAAGAGATGAGACTGACTGTAGGAGGAAAGCACCTTTAAGGCGCCTTGGCTCAGCTGCTTGCAGACATCGATTGTGATGTCTTCCCGTGAGTGGGGGCATCCTGCAAGGCCCCAGAGAACTTGCTGCACGCTGGACCTCCGCACTATAGGCATCTGGCAAGTAGACGGTACTCGCGCTTATCAAAATCCAGCGTGCGAGCAAGGTGCTGCATGCTGGACCCCGACCCTGCGCAGAGTGCTTTGGGCTGGACTTTCCTCATCGCACGTGAACACATGCCAGACATGATGCCGGAACAAATTGTCATGCCAGATACATGCCAGAACAAATACTATTTCAAGACTTGGGGCCAGAACAGATGTCAGAATAGACGTCAGAACAGTCGAACAAATGTCAGAACATGTCAGATAATATGATATATAGTTATAATTACGTATGCCAGAGTGTGACAACACATGCCAAAGTTGAGACAATAACATATGCCAGAACATATAGTTGATTGCATGTCAGAGCATACGTCGGACGCTGTCAGTCTGACAAGACTATGCTGTCCAACAAGAGTGTCCCAAAGAGTGTTCTATGATTCTATCACGGAGTGTCTCACTAGAGTACCAGGCAGTCGAGTGACCTACAACAGTGTCATGTCAGTCGAGTGCCCTACGACCCATGAGAGTGTTTGTTACAGAGACCGTTTGGTGACTCATTCGCCACTCCGTTGGCCTGATCGTTCCTTTTCAGAAGCAGAGGGATTCAGATGGCTTCAGATTTGGTTTAACGATATAATGGACGAACGATCTGATAATAAGATCTCTTCTTCCAACAGGCCATATTAGAGCAGCGGCCAAAACTTCCCAAAGTAACAACTTGAAAGAAGAGCCCATGAAAGAGCAAATTCTCGATAGGTTTTGAGCAATGCTCATACCCACACGCTCCATGGGACTGCCGCACCATTGACCCCTCTGGCACCACCCCAACTGATCGGCATATATATTTTATAATAATATATATACATATACCATTCATGGAGCGTCTGCCACGTCGTCCACCGGTACTACACCTCGGAGCGAGGCGAGCCCTCCGCCGGCTCGAGGTGCGCGAAGCGGCGGAACACCGGAACCAGCGCACCCTTCGGAATTCCGACCGGGGAACCGGTGGAACCGAGCCGGTTGACCTTAACCCTTTTCCAGATGGATGTGTATGTTAAAGAGGGAGACTCCCCAACCGAACCATGGGTAGACGTCCGGATATATTTCTCTAGTTTCCTTCTTCCAGACTGTCGCACTGGGAGGTCTCCCTTTTTTTAATCCAAAACCCAATCAAACCCATAATATGAGGCTCGGACAACATCTATGCTTGGGGTCCTCCCCTGCTTGGTTCAAAATGGAAAGAGGTCTACCACGATTCATTCCAGTTTGCCATAGTTTACCACCACCCATATGATGCGAAAGACATGCCGAAGCGGAGCACCTGCTGCTTGATGGCCTTTTCACCACTGGAACATGTTTGCCACCTCGGAATCGTCCAGTGTTTCGTGCGAGGAGCAAGCACACAAAAGGTCGCCGGTAATTTGCGCCAAGCTTGGGTGCCAACACCGATCACTCCAAAACTCAGTCGAACTTCACAGGATGCTGATGTGGTCCTCCACGACAGCTTGATCCCTGAGGAGGTGGGGGGGTCGACACATGTCGAGTCGCTCGCGCGGCACCAGTCGGCCGCGTGCCGCTGCGCGTGTCGTCCGCGGGTCGAGCGCCAAAGCAAGAACTGAAGAGAGTGTTTGGGTCATATCCGACTGAGAAAACGACGGAACAAGATTGAACTAAGAACACGATGTTTTTGTTGGTCTTGCAGCCTGTGCAGCCTGCCAGCTTTTCCCCTCTATACTGTAGAACGTGGATCGGTGGCCACTAAGGCCATGGCCATCCAAAAGGGAAGGGATTTGGAGCCCATGTGAGCTGAGCACCTCACCTTGTGACTCTATAATGTGTTAGAATGTTGTAAAAGAACTCCATCAGTCACAAGGTGTTTGCTATAGGGTCTCCATCAGTCTGTGTTCTTTCTTCTTTGGAGACCCCAAAACCAGCGAACCAGCTGAGCCCTGTCATC